TTTGCATGAAAGGACTCAAAATTGACTGCGCTATCAAACTGCTATCTCGGATTTTCAAAATTTTGCAAATTTCGAAAATTTTATATAATAATATTCAAAATTTATATTTTTATATTTTATTCAAAAGGTTTTTAACTTTTCGAAAAAACCGGAATATATGTGACAGAACGCATGCTTATGACTAACTCTAGCAAGTTTTAGCTAAATATCTTAAAAAATGGCCAAGCTATACGCATTATTGCAAAAAATTCACAAGTATTAATTTTTCAAATCAATTTTTCAGCACCTATTTGACATCGTACACCAATATAAATAGCACCATCGTGTTCCTGAGCTCAAACTGCATCCAAAAACACATTTTTTGTTGAAAAACTTAAACTTCAAAATTTGACATTTTTTGACCTGAAAATGACCTGGCCTAAGCTAAATTCGACTCAAAATGACCTCGAATGACACAGACGACATCAAATTCGAAATCTACGGCCTAAATGGACCATAAAACATGTGTCACGTGACCGACGCATGATATCATATTTCCGTGACCTGTGATGACCTGACCCTGACCTGAAAATCAAAGTACAAGTGTTATACCCTCAAGGTATCTAGAGCATCTGTTTACGAGTGTGGAAACCAAAAATGAGCCTGATCTGACTTGTAAGACGGCGGCCAGAGCCCAAAAAGTGAACAAGCCAATATGCTAATAATTTTTACTTTGACCTGACCTGTGACGTCATCGGTGACCTCGAGGTCAATGAAATTAGGTTTCGTTCGACAGTTTTTCCGGGGCTATCAGACGCCGTTTGAATTTTGACGATCGGTCCAGTAGTTTCGGAGCTAGGCAGTGACGTACCCAAGGGGGGGGGGGCCCTCAGGCCCCAGGATATTTTTTTAAACACTGGATAAAACGTCTTTTACTCGGAAGAAAAATTGATATTAAAGTTTAATTTATGTGCCCTGGGTACCCGAGGGGCCCCTGCAGTCATCCAAGGGCCCCCAGTTTCCTGGGCCCCTGGTCGCCTAGGGGGCCTCTGGTAGCCGGGGGCCTGGTCTCATGGGGGCCCCTGATAGCCTGTGGCCCCTAGTCGCCTAGGGGCCCTGGTCGCATGAGGCCCCTGATCGACTGGGGGCCCCTAGTTGCCTAGGGGGCCCTGATAGCCGGGGGCCTGGTCGTATGGGCCCCTGATAGTCTGTGGCCCCTAGTCGCCTAGGGGGCCCTAGTCGCATGGGGGCCTCTGGTTGCATGATATTGAGGCCCCTGATCGCCTGGGGGTACCTAGTCGCCCAGGGGGCACCTGGTAGCCGGGGGCCTGGTCGCATGGGGCCCCTGGTTGCCTGGGGCCCCCGGTCGCCCCTAGTCGCCTGGGGGACCCTGGTCGCCTTGGGCCCCTGGTAGCCTGGGATCCCCTGGTCGCCTGGGGGCCCCTGATCGCCTGAGGACCGCTGGTCACCTAGAGGGCCCCTGGTCGCCTGGGGGCCCTGGTAGCCGGGGGCCTGGTCGCATGGGGCCCCCTGCCCTGGTCGCATGGGGCCCCCTGCCCTGGTCGCATGTGGGCCCCCTGATCGCCTGGGGGGCCCCTGATCGCTTTGGGGACCTGATCGCATTGGCCTTTGGTCGCCTGGAGGGCCCTGGTCGCCTGGGGCAGTGGGGCCCCTAGTCATCTGGAGGACCTGGTCGCCTGGGAACCCCTGGTCGACTGGGGGCCCCTGGTCGTCTGAAAGTACGCTTATCACCTGATTGATCCCAAATCATCTGAGTGGCTACTGGCTACTGGATATAACCCGGCACCGCCTGGGCTATTTCCGTACCCACATCAGCCTGGGGGGGGGTCGGATCCGACCCCCCCCTGTTATCTCGAGAACCAATGGTCGTATCGAGCCCTGCGAGGCGGCGTTCGAAAGGTCTCTACGAGACCTTCCCAAAGCACTCTTAAGATTTTAAGATTGAGGTCAACTTTCGGGTCAAGGTCAGGTCAAAGGTCAAATTCAGGGGTTTTGCATGATTAGGCTTACGGACAGCGGAATCGATAGCTGCTGCTCGAAACTCACCACAAATGACCCCAAAGACCTAGTGAAGGTACCATGTGCGTATAGGGGTCATACTAAGTACGGGTCAAGGTCAGGTCAGGTCACGAAAGGTCACGGTTTTCACTTTCTGCTACATGGGCGTGCGACACATGTTTTATGGCTTATTTTTCACGCCAAATCCGATGGTAATGGTTAATATGTGACCCCAAGTCACTGTGCAACTTTTTTTTCAACTCAATTTTTCAACTTTTTATTTTTGACATAAAAATGCACTTTTCTAGACGAGCTTTGTCCCAGGAATCTAGTGGTGCCATTTGTTTTCACATGCGATGTTCAGAAGTGCCTCTAATTCGCGAAAATGCTTATGACGTCACCATGCCCTATGCATGTTGGAGCTATTTTTTACAATTTGGGGGTCAAAAATCAAGATAGAAAGTTGAAATTTGGGACATCTAATGTTCTAATAGAGCTCTATTCCGGTTTTTTGGAAATTCTCAAAATTTTGGATTTTATTAGCTGTTTTCCAAAAAATATAGTTTTTTGAGTTTTTAGGGGTGAAAAACGCATTTTATGGAAAATCCGAGATAGCCATTTTAAAGAACTCGTTGAGCTGCGTCTTTTAATGTCCTTAATTTGCAATTTGCTTAAAACCTCGATTTTTGGCGATTTTTTAAACATTTACCATTTTTTGACTGAAAACGCCATGTAGTTACATCACTAAAATGGATAAATCTCAGAAATTTTTGATTTTTTTCCTTAAAAATTGCACAGGAGACGTCAAATTGATGGGGGAGAAGGTATGCGAAGTTTCAACTTGATAGCGCAAGCGGTTCATGAGTTATTCAAGAAAAACGGAGGGGGGGGGGTCGGATCCGACCCCCCCAGGCGGTCGCGGGATAAGTAGTGACTGGAGTAGGCACTCATCTGAAGGAGCCAATATCTTTCACAGTGCCGGAGATATCACAGAAAAACAAAAAGGCTAAACTGAATACCCTCCCAACCTTGGCCCCAAAGGCGTCATTGGCTAACACAGGGATGTGGGTCGATTTGCAATCTCATTTCCTCCTAAGTCCTATTCCTTTAATTAATACAGAGTGTCCCAGAATTACCCAAGCATTTATTTTCTGGCTAAAAGTACAATTGCGCTCGTTTCCTAGTGAAACATATAATAACCGCGTTTACATAGGGCTAGTTGCCAGATAGTGGAATTCCGATAACGAGACATTTATTCCCCACTATTATATTATATACCTACATATCCGGAATTGGAGGATGTTCAGTAATTGAGGCGCTCGCTCATAAAATGCCGTGCGTTTCTTGCACACTCCTCAAGCAAAAATATTTTTACTTTCCAATTTTCCACATTTTCTCAAGGCTTAGACCGTTACAGCGACCGTTTTAACCCGCGCACCGACGGGGGTCTGCGCCAACTTCGCACCGACGGGGGGGGGGGCGGATGACCGCCCCCCCTGAGATCTCGAGAACGAAGCAAGATAGCGACAAGCGGTAAACAGCATCGGATACGCACGGCCAAGATCTACAATTTTTACTAAGGTCATTTTCAGGTCAGGTCAAAGATGACGTCACAGGGGTCGAAAAAGTCAAAATGGCGGCGCTAGATATGGAGAGTTTTTCTCGAATAACTTTCGAATTAGTCAAGATAGGAACAAACTAAGGGCATCATCGTGATCCTCTCGTCAATCCGCATCAAATGATATATATGTTGACCTCGAAAGGTCAAGGTCAAAGGTTGACCTCAGGTCACGTGACCTCGAGGTCATCATATATATCATTCGATGCGTCTTGACGAGCTGAACACAATGAGACCATCCACGCGTCTGTATCTTGTTCCTGTACGGAGTTATTGGCCAAAAACCTTTGGTGACCTTTGATAACGTCACATGACCTCACAGCTGCCCAACAGCAAAACAGACCTCAAGGTAGTGAAGGTTGATCGTATATGAAGTCATTTTTGGTATATGGGGCCATTCCGACCCGTTTTAGTGGTAAAAACAGGGAGTTGATTTTTCCCCCATTGACTTATAATGGGGAGGTCGCGAAATTGACCTGACCTTAGGTCACCGATATCAAAATTCCGAGATATACAAATTGTAGCTACTAATCACCTAATAATATCCTGCGACTTTCAAAGGCCTCCGACATCTACTGTAGCTCTGGCACGGTGACAAAGTTGCAAAAAAGTGACTTGAGGTTGGGTCATTCAAAGTGACCTGGTGACCTGACCTTAAAAGGTAGGAGGTTCAAACTTGCACACCATGTGTAAAATTGATGAGTTTATAGTCATACCAAATTTCGCGGCGCTACGCGCCGCGGTTTTCCCGCTATTCGCGAAAAACCTCAGGGGGGGGGGCGGATATCCGCCCCCCCCGTCGGTGCGCGGGTTTATTGACTTTGATGAAGTCGAGCGCGAGAAATCACAACCAAATGCTACATTAGGTTGTAAAGAACTGAATTGCGTTTTCCCACACACATGGCGTTTTCTCACCTACGTCTGCAGGAATGACCGGACCCACTATGCCCCCCCCCCCACCATCGAAAGGTTCTTCATGACTCCCGGGGGCCCCCGGGGAACCTGGGGGGGGGGGGGCCCTATACACTGTGGGGGGCCCCTTCGAAAGCAGGTGGCCCCCTGCTGGGCGAAATCCTGGGTACGTGCCTGGAGTTAGGAGGGGGTCTATGGAGAGCCCCCCCCCCCCCCCAGTAAAGCGTGTTATACGCAGACCCCAGTGGGGCGCGTGTTAATTAAAGGTGTTCCGCCGCCACTGTCGTCACAGACACAGTAGGTAGGTAAGTCATCGGGTGTTGTAGAAGACGGCGTTCAGGCGTGAGCCTAGGCTCGCTACATCCACTTAATCAACCGGAAAAGTTGTAACATCATGGTTGTTGTATTGCACTTTAATACCTACAAACGTGACACAAATGAAACATGGCGAACTTTATCATGTGCTCAACCATCAGGCGGCGTCCGTCTCGGCCTGTTTGTCCCGGCGCCCCGCGGAGCGTCGGGCGATGCAGGGATGGAGCAGCACCAGCGCGCCGCCGGCCAGCATGCAGCCCGACAGCACGGCGAACACGGTGCGAAACGTGCCGGCCGCGTCTCGCAGCAGGCCGCCCAGCGGCTGCGCCGTCAGGTTGGCCACACCCGCGAACAGGTTCGACATGGTCAGCGTCGACGAGAGACGCTCGACGCCGTAGTACTCGGCGTACATGACCGGCGTCACCACAAAGTAGAAGCCGACGGCGGCGTACACTACCGCACACGCGGCGAACAGCTCGGCGTACGAGCGGACGAACACGAGCGCCAGCACGCCCGTGCCGCCCACCAGGCACGTGATGAACAGGCCGTAGCGCTTGTGGAACAGATTGCGGTCCAGCAGGAAGCCCAGCGAGAGACGGCTGACGATGTCGATCGGAGCGATCGTGGCGATCATGCTGGCAGTCTGACCGCGACTAACGTCAATCTCCAGACCGAAGCGCGGCACCAGCAGACACACGTGCGGAAGGCCAGCCGTGAAGAGAAACACACTCGTCACACAGGCGACGTACAGTGGATCCGTCAGCAGATGGAGGTCTAGGGACCGGAGCACCTGCTGCCAGCAGCCCGCCGATCGCGGCGCCTCCGGAGGCTCCACGGCCAGACTCAGCTGGCTCAGCATGATGGTCGAGGACACCAGCGTGGCGCTGGGCCTTCGGCTGCGAGCAGCGCTCTCGGAGACTGCCAACGAGGGGCGCTTTTCCATTCCGTAACCTTGGGGTAACAGCCGTGCGGAGGAAGGAGCCTCGTCCGGTAGAGGAGGCTTCTCTGCCACTAGATCAGCCTGCTGAGCTTTCACACCAGGCAGCGAGGGCTGGCGTTGCCGTCTTCGCTTCCGCATTTGTTCCAGGCGCATAATCTCGCGCTGCTTGTCCATCGGCCGATACAGCATGGCTGAGATGATGGTGTGCAGCTGAAATCCTCCCATCATCAGGTAGGTGCCGGGGATGCCGTACTCCTCCAGCATCCCCTGCACCATCAGCGGGAAGAACACGCCGCCGATCGCGGCAGACGCGGCCGTGATCGAGTTGGCCAGGCCGCGACGCTTCACAAAGTACTTGGTCACCATCAGCGTGCCGGGGAGGTTCGCGAACCCCTGCCCGATGCCGAAGATGACCCCGTTGGTGACGTAGAGCGCGTAGATGTTGCTGGTGAGGCCGCTGAAGGCCAGACCGAGCATCGTCAAGATGCCGCCGCCTATGCCGACGGTTCGCTCGGAGAAGCGGCGGCAGAGTGCGCCACAGACGGGCGCTATCAGAAAACTGCCCGAGTAGAACAGAGCCGGGATGACGGCCACTTGCGCCGAGGTGAAGCCGTACTCGTGTACCAGCGCCGCCAGCAGCAGACCGAAGGACTTGTGGATGCCGCCGACCAGGATGAACTGCAGTGCGGCGCCGGCCGCTACCACCCAGCTGTAAAAGGAGTCCTCAACTTGGGGATCTTCGATGAACTGTTCCACTTCTCCGCTCCTCTTCGAAGATGTGTGTGTTGCTTTGGAAGAAGTCACGGCATTGGCCTGAATTTTACTTTCATATGACATTGCAGAGACACTCGAACTTCGCTCGTCCGAGGATGGTGCCAGTGAGGTTTCCCGCGACAGTTTGGGACGGGAGGCGTCCGTCCACGTTCTTGCTCGGGTGGACAAGGGGGACACACTCGTCAAGGACGACGTGCTCGAGGTCCTCGTCGTGGGGGATTCGCTGGTTGCCTTGACGGATGCGTTGGCGCCTCCTTTCTCGGCCACGACCCCTGAGGATGACACACCTGAGGACTTCTCTATCGATTTAGAGACATCCTCAAACGAGGAGGAGTCTTCGAGTCCCGGCATGGTCCTTCACCGTTATGCTTACACACTTTCACAAAGTGCTTTCATAACGAGACCAGCCTTCTTATCATTCCAATATCGTAAACGGTTTACGCGAAAGGCAGATAACTATGTATCACAAGTAGTTAGTTCAATTATACGGAGAGATGCCTCAGTTACAAAGCACCGCAGTGTGCCAGTTCACTATCACCGTATCCGCCGTCACCGGCTCATTCTTCCACTGATCGCTAATGCCGCCACCAACGTTCGGTCTGTCTTGCCCAGTAACGCTGTCACCACTGTCCTTTTCGACGAGTTACCGTCTTCGACTGCCGCCATTCGCCGGCCGAAGTTGAGAGTACAACGTCCGAAACGCAAAGCCACCGCAACTACCAATCCTCACACAAACGAGTCCACGACTTCGCCCGTTTCGCCCGCCTCTTCTCTCCCAGGTCTCCACTCCTCGATGTCCCACTCAGGCTCCGAGCCAGCAGCGGTGCGATGCTCTCCTCTCCACACCCAATACCCGTCTGATCGCCGCAGAGGACGGCGATGTGTAGCGAGCTGACACAAGTCGCACCGCAACGCAGCCTGGGCGGAGGCGGGGCGGGGCGTCCATGGCCGCAAGATAGCGGTACGTCGGCTCAAGTGGCCACTTCACCTCGCAGTACCCGTGACAGTCAGCGACTACAGTCCCGAGTCATCGTGACACGAGGGATGTAGGACCTACTGCAGAGCCTTGGCGAACCCATGGGCGTGTGGTGTAATCGCCGGCCGCCATTCACCGTGATACGCCGGTACGCCGTGACCGTGAACCAATGGACCACGACCGTGGCCGTGTGACGTGTGTGCGTGAGGGGGGGGGGGAGGGGGACATCCGAGCACGGAGTAAAACAACTCGTCATGTCTGACTCTGGGTATCGTCGTGGCTAGTGGATTGTCGTTGCAGATGAATTGGAGGTTAGAAAGCACTGATGACTAAAATTTTAGGCATTGCAACGAATATTTTGGGCATATAGAGCTGAGGAACCTATAACACGCTAGTTAATATTCTACACGCTGGACATCTAGATCGTATAGTTCCATAACAAATAGGTTATGGTTTTTTAACGAAACTGATTTTACCCACCCCAGGACGACTTATTACTGTGTACTATACTGCTGGTTGCAGAACAATGCTGGGCATTTATCCAATGAACGTTTGACCACAGAATAAGGCACATGACAGGCGCACCGGAAACATTTAGCAGAGTTCACAGACTGCGATAACTCCTCACGCGATGCCGTGCGTCCGTCTAGACTTGTACCCGCTATCTCACGGCGTAACCTTGTACTTCGATACATCAGCGTCACTCCCGGGTCAGCAGTCGCCAATCGGCGGCGGAACCTACCTTGCGGTGGAGTTTATAAAACACATTGTACCTACCAATTGAGCGCCAGCATAGCTTACTGGTCTTTGGCAATACCTGCTTGGAGTAGAAAGACGCCCAGTCATGCTTACAGCTCCTTCGGCAATGTCGTACCTATGACTAGCTAAAAGCCTTGTGCATTTGCATCAGCAACAGAACGAGACGAATCATCAGTGGCACCTCGTCTATCCTCGTCTTTCTCCTGCCTTTACGTCTCTTTCTCGCTAAAAATGTCAGAGGCAAAAGAGCACTGCAAGAGCTCTGGCAGGTACAAAGATTTAGAGGAGTTGCAGCGCCGACGGATAGTGAGAAAGCTACACTCGTATAGCACACATTGGCCGACTATCTAACCACACTGACCACCAAAAAAACAAAAACAAAAAAAAAAAGGAAAAACCGTTGATGTGGACGGTGTATTTCATAACGTATAGTTAGGTATATCAGGCGTATATATCACAGTGCGGTGCAATCTCGCTATCAGCTAATGGCAAGTACAGGTGCTCATTGGTCTGCGATGGAGATCTCAACATAGTTATGTACATATGAACAAAAAGCCGAGATATCAAACTATCAAATCCCACTCATCCCTGTTTGAACACTATCAATGACTCGAGTCGAGTCTCTTCAGCCTTGGTTCGAAATCAATGGAATATCAAAACGATACGCATATACGATACATGCATGGATATCAGATTCAATTGGATTGTAGAACGTGGGTCTCACAATCGCACTGAACGAACATATTACACTTGGTCAACTACGTATGTATACTACCAGAAAAAAAAAAACGTGGACGGTGAGAGAAAGAACTATATCGCGAATCGCATACCCTAGTTGTACGTGACACTGCCCGCAAAATGCTATGAGTACCATGCGCTACGCAGCGCATGGTACCAATAATCCATGGAGTGGGGTAGCATGACAATTTACCGACATTTTATAACACAAGATAGATAAAAATTGGCCAGTGTTTCACTCAATGCTAACAAGACGGGTAGGTAAGTAATCAATACATCGCGTCGGCACAGCACTGACACACTGCACTTTGGTAACTGGAAGCTGGACATCAACTGACAACAAAGTCCCTACACGGCGGTCCATAGATACGTCAGGTCTCGGGAGTCATAATAAACATCGAACAACACTTGGTAGCTGAGATCGTGGAGAGATCGTGGAGACCTAGCTAGTACTTGTGGAGCCTGTCGCTGGAGGCAGTGATCGACCTGTGGCCCTGGGCTATCTTCCCACGGCGGACATCACGCAGCTTCAGCACGGCCTCCCAGGCGTGGGACGACATCCCCAGGCAGGCGAATATCTGCAAATGGAAGAGAAATATTCAATACGAGAAAACACAGACATGAAGACAAGCTAATGGAAAAAATTCAGTGGGATGGATAGGTTAGGTCATGGCACATGGAGAGCAAAGAAATCAACTCCTATCTATAAACAAGTCATACAAAAAAAAAAAATTCTCTCAATACAGCCTTCCAGGCATTTAATATCTATTCAATGATTCTTATTAATATGTCAACATACCAGTAACAAAACACTCACAGATCCAATAGTAGAGAATGCAAACACAAACACTCACTGTGGCAGCCACCCATGTGGCCTGCAGGTGCCCAAATGAAGTGGCGAGAGCAGCAGCAGTTAGGTAGAGCACACTCCAGCAGCTACTGAAAAACAGCTCCTGACAAAGCACAGGCAATTGTTACGTTAGGACTGTACTTCAATAAACCACGGATGAATATTACATAATTTTCAGCATAGGTATAATGTACATTGAATGTAGAAAGTTCAGGTTGATCAAAATGCAAGCAAGAGAAGTAACTGTGAAACATTTGCAGCTTCCTAAAAATGCCTAAAATAACACAATGAGAAAAATACACTTACCATTCCCAGCCAAGGTAAAAAGTGTAGCTTCTCCACAACATGGAAGGCATAGCAGAGCAGCAACAGAAGTGATGTCCAAAAACTAACCAGGCAGACAAAGTAGTACCATGTAGCTCTTGGATGAAGACTCAAGTTGGAGAATGTGATGCAGAGAAATCCACATAAAGCAACAAACTGAAAAAAGATAATGCATAAAACCAAACCATGTTTTTTTTTTTACTAAGTTTGAAAGTCTTTGATTCAAATTACAAATGAAGACAAAGATATCAATTGTGCATTGAAAATGATTTTCTCCTCTGTTCTCTTTGCTGACCCCAATGAAAAGATATCACATCTTTGCAATTTAAAATATGTTGATGCAAAATATTGTACAACACAAAATGTAAAACAATACAAGACAGAAAATACAAAATATATTGTGTTATATGTCTAAAAATAAATGAACAATTAAACAAAATTATCCAACTGAATTACTTAATTCAGTAGGTGGAACTATGGTCATGAGTACCCAAATATAGGAACGTTCCCATTTTTGGGAACGGAGTTCCCAAATATGGGAACGGGCGTTCCCATTTATGGGAACGGAAGGTAATTTTTCGGCCGTTCGCCCACTAAAACTCATTAGTGCATCACGTTTCAAAAAAGTGCACGCTAATTCAAGTATCTACTAAGTCTCTATAAAATTATCTTTAATCTGACCGTTGCACAAGGAAATTGACCGTCGAATGATATTTTTAATGATTTTTTGAAGTGACGGAATGGTGAAAACATGGGTTATTCTACATTTAACATGCAATTTTAAGGAAAATGAAGCGTTTTTTACATTTTGAGGTCAAGTATAATAATTTTCCCCTGGTTATGAAGTTTCATATTAGCGACACCAGATGCTGACATATGCAAGCGAACACGCGGACAGTCCGGGGGTAATATTGTTGACTTTTGGTGTCGGGGCGCACGACCTCGTGGAACGTCAGTGATTTTACCGAACTACTGTTGTAAACTCAGTTTTAGTGGTTTGAAATTATTCAGCTGTATTTTATCAGCCCGGAAAGACATATTTTATTTGGATGCTAGCTGTTTAGCGTTGTTTTATAAGGAGCGTCATGAGCGTGGTTTTTGTCTTCCGTGTTTCTAAGCATGATCGTTTTGGGGGAATTTCTCTTATATAGGTCGCTCTGTGTGGCTTGTTTATAATTTTTATGCTGATTTCGATCATTCCTCGTGCCCATCCTACCAGGCCTTTTGCCACTTACACTCATCAAGAAAGGAAAAAACTAGATTTTCATTGGGACTAGGTGTTTTGAGGGTGTAACATATTCAGCGTTCCCATTTTTGGATACTTCCTTGTGCTCGTCAACTATCGGTGATAAACAGACAGGTGCTTGACATGTCTCCACCCTCGGCGCGGACGGTGGATATAGGTATGGAAGACCTTGTTGAACATCGCTGAGCGTTGTGAATTACGTAATCCTGCAGAGGGGGGCGTGCCCGCTGCGAGATCGACGGGAATAAAAGCGCAGAAGACCGGGCGAAACATGCGACGGTCTTGCCGGAAAGGTCATCTGATGATTGTTGCGTTAACAATAATTTGCGGCGTTGGACGTGATGCTTGTTAATGAAAAGAGCCCTTGAAAGGCGTCGGTGAAATCGTTCCCAATTTTGGGTACGCCGTTCCCATAATAAGGAACGCTTGCAGCGCCAGTGTACGAGAGCGTTCCCAAATTTGGGATCGCGGCCCGGATGATGGACTGCTTTAGAAATAGGGGAACGATTTGAAACTACGATGGGCCTTACAATATCAAACTCTTTCCCAACAATATTGAGACAAATATCAGGCGGTTCACGATCGTTTTATATTTTTTGGACGTCATTTAACGGTTCTTTTTCTTGTTTTAAATAATGCCTACATGGCGTTCCCATATTTGGGTTTATCGTTCCCAAACATGGGAACGAAAATGCGTTCCCGAAAATGGGTACGCTTGACCATAGTTCCGCCTACTGAATTGGAATAGCTTTAACTCTCATCTTTGAAGCCCAAAAAAGTAAGAAAATGGGTGAAATGGATGAATAAATGAAAAGTTTTATCATCACAACATATAAAAATGGCGCATTGTTACAAGAACAGGTACCTTGATGCATATCAAAACATAACACCATGTGATAAGATAATGTATAACTAATAACACCAAAACAATTGCACAAAACTACAACAGAAATTCATTTCAGTCACTCAGATTTCAGAGATCTAGGATTCAAAAATGTTTAGATAAGTGGAAGGAATGTCCACTGATAAACACCCTCAAAAGATAAATGGAAATATAATGAAAATAATACTCACAATTTGCAGCATCTTCAAAGCACCATTCAGAGTATGAAGGTATTTTTTCTCAAATCTTAGCCATGGCAGAACCTTAGTTGTTGCAGCTGTGATGACTGGAGGGCTCAGGCTCGCCATATCACTGATCATGAATGTCATAACAAATTCCAGCCTGAATGCAATATGCAAATCACAAGAAAAGAAATTATCACTTTTCAATCTTTCCAGTTTCCACAGGACAAGGAGGAAAACATAGCATTCAATAGGCACATTTATGGCTTCCCAAGCGTTCGCTTTGTGCTCTTGACCTCTGTTCGTAAGCGGAAGCTGCCACACGTTTTTAGCGAGTTGCTAGGCATCTGAATTCTGACTTTTTCATTTGAGCCTTGGTTGCTAGGCAACGTCGGTTGAGTTCACGTCAACGAACATGTTGTTATGAATATTTTGCGCCATATCTGTCTAAAATAGTGCTACCAGATTACTTCCAAACTTCTCTATAAAATGAGTACTTTTTGGCGAATGTTTCGAACCCTTCGAGTGGAACCCGGCAATGTTATCTCGGCGTTGTTTCACAGGACGCTGTTACCAAGCTGCTATTCCACTTTGCGAGCTGACGTCACGCTTGTGGCAGTGTTGGAAAAATGGGCTTGTTGATTTCTCCATTGAAGCCCAAACGTGTAATAGCATCGTGCTGCATCACTGTGAATTGCACCACCCTGATGACTGATCCCCATAGCAAACCCACACCGATGCTCACGATTCTTCGATGCTCCGGGATGCGTGAATCGTTCTCCTCTAAATCCCAGTATTAGGATGGACGGTCACCACTTGCCACCATCAGACGTAGGCATCTCCTCAGAAACGGGCTCTAGTGCGCTGTGCGAATATGGGTGACAAGCGCGGCTGAGTCGCCGCCTGGTCGCGGCTGTCCTTTGTTGTCCTCAGTTTGTCCTTTACGACGGTTTCAAACAATCTGTTCGCTGACCGAGCGGCGAACAGATCGACTCCTAATGCCATTTCATAACAATTCCAATTCCATAATGCTGAATGGGCCTGCCCAAATCCGGAACGTAGCTAAGAATGCTTAAGATGTTCGACAGATTGCTGATCCCCTGTTACCTTAAAAATACGACACCGTACCTGACTGGCAATATTTTGTACTGGAGAGTGGGGACACTGTTTCGAACATCGAACAACATTGCAAATAGATACCCAGCTAGGTCGAGCGCCGTGTCGTTCAGTGGTCAATTTGGAGAATACGTTAAACTTCCTGATTGAGTTAAACCTTAAAACGTATGCTATACCACTATCGTATGAGCTTAATTGTCTGAGAAGTGTCATAACCAAGGTCATAACATTCAAAAAGTAATAACACTAAAAGTTTCACCCTCTTCAGCCGCGCGAGCTGTTATTACTGTCGACATGGATGGCACGAGCAATATCACAACCATCACTAGATAAAATATTTATTCGTCTAGCACACTTTTTCCGACCACGGTGGTATCGCGTTTCTGCAGCAGTCGCAGCTGCTTCTTCTTCATCCGTTTTATTTTGTTAGGGTTCTTCACCACCTGGTACACCTCGGCCTTCAGCGCGTTCTCCGCTGCCTTCTTGGCGTTGTACTCGCGTCGCTTCCGCAGGTCCTCTAGCTTCTGTTTCCGCTCGTTCTTCAGCTGGTTCTCCAGCTCCTTCACCACCCGCTCGCGCTGCCGTTTCTGCATCCGCACCTCGTAGCTGACCGGGTCTTTGACCACCACCCGCGACGCCGGCGTTCGCACCGACTTCCAGAACCGACCCGACTTGGCCAGGCCGCGCGGCGCAGGCGCCGGTCGGACGCGGGTCAGGGCGGACACAGGGGCTGCCGGGGCGGCCGCGGGGGCGGTCACGGGGGCTGGGCGGGCCGCGGCGCCCACAGCGGCCAGCACCCGCTGCGCAGCGGCCACGCGCCGCGCCGCCTCCCGCTCCTCGGCACTGCTCTCCGCGGCGTCCACTCGCTCCACGTCTACGACCTCGTCCTCCCCGTCCACTTCCATGGCCAGTTCGGCGGCGTCTGTCTCCGCGCACTTTGAAACGGGCTCTGTGGCGGGTTCTGTGGCGTCTGAAGGCACTTCTTTGCCCTCTGAAACTTTCTTCACAGATTCTGATGACGAAGATTCGATATTTTCAGATCCATCCTCGTTTGACCTATCCATGCTCTGTGAGGCATTTTCGGCTGTTTCTTCCCCTTCTATAGCTTCATCTTCACTCGAGTTCGACGCAGTCGGCGTTGAGCTGATAATCGATTTTATTTTTGTCTCACCCTCTGTTGCTTTGGCTGTACTTTTCGCTGCACCATCTGCTGTTAGATCCACCGTGCTTTCTGCAGCCTCCCTACCAGTTTCAGCTGTCGCCGCCTCCCCCGGGACACACAGTGTTGCTGCCGTCTCTTTCCTCTTCTCGTTGCTCCCGCCACCCTGTTTTTCCGGTTTGGACAGAGTTGTGGTCTCCTCCTCGACCGGTTTCAGCTTGCTGGCCGCCTCTCCGCGGTACTTTTCCAGCAGGACCTTGGTGCGGTGACCACGCGCCGGACCACTCTCCTCGGCGGACCCGGCCGACCCCAGCGGCGTCAGGGAGGAGGCGCGTCGGCTCCGCCGCGGAGAGGCCGCCGCCGGCGGGTCGCAGAGCGAACTGTGACGGGCTCGAGCGGCCGCGGCCGGGGAGGGCGCCGCCGCCACGTCCGGCGAGGGCTGGTAGCTCTTCCTTCTTGTGCTGACCATGGCTATGGTTTGGTCAGCTCACTGACCAGCCTGTGGGGAGGGAGATGTGTTAGCAAAGCACCAGTACCTACCTACTGCGGAGAGCATCTGCAGAAAGAAATGCCCTCTGCTCAAAACACATGGAAGTGTGAGAAAATAAATATCATATTTATCCTGTATGGTACAACAATGCATGTCTAATCAGTTTTGGGGACACCCTATGATCAAGAAACAATGACACTGACAAGAAAGGACAACTCCATCATTTTTAAGATTAGGTATCCCTAAGATGATCTGATCATCTGAATATATTGTATTTTGTAATATGTGGAGTCATTGTGTCAGTGAATCCCTGTTGAAGCAGTTCAGTTGTTGCTTGTTAATAAACAGTTTTTGAGTCTGCCAAATGGGTCTGTTAACTGCAAGGCTGCTTCCTGATATGTGCTGCCCCTCTAATTAGCTTTCTGGGTCTGCCAAATGGGTCTGTTAAGTGTTAACTGCAAGGCTGCTTCCTGATGATATGTACTGCCCCTCTGATTAGCAAGAGACAGCCTTTGTGAATCCTTAACCCGCGCACCGACGGGGGTCTGCGCCAACTTAGTACCGACGGGGGGGGGGGGGGGCGGATGACCGCCCCCCCTGAGATCTCGAGAACGAAGCAAGATAGCGACAAGCGGTAAACGGCATCGGATACGGACGGCCAAGATCTACAATTTTTACAAAGGTCATTTTCAGGTCAGGTCAAAGATGACGTCACAGGGGTCGAAAAAGTCAAAACGGCGGCGCTAGATATGGAGAGAGTTTTTCTCGAATAACTTTCGAATTAGTCAATATAGGAACAAACTAAGGGCATCATCGTGATCCTCTCGTCAATCCGCATCGAATGATATATATGTTGACCTCGAAAGGTCAAGGTCAAAGGTTGACCTCAGGTCACGTGACCTCGAGGTCATCATGTATATCATTCGATGCGTCTTGACGAGCTGAACACAATGAGACCATCCACGCGTCTGTATCTTGTTCCTGTACGGAGTTATTGGCCAAAAACCTTTGGTGACCTTTGATGACGTCACATGACCTCACAGCTGCCCAACAGCAAAACAGACCTCAAGGTAGTGAAGGTTGATCGTATATGAAGTCATGTATGGTATTTGGGGCCATTCCGACCCGTTTTAGTGGTAAAAACAGGGAGTTGATTTTTCCCCCATTGACTTATAATGGGGATGTCGCGAAATTGACCTGACCTTAGGTCACCGATATCAAAATTCCGAGATATACAAATTGTAGCTACTAATGACCTAATAATATCCTGCGACTTTCAAAGGCCTCCGACATCTACTGTAGCTCTGGCACGGTGACAAAGTTGCAAAAAAGTGACTTGAGGTTGGGTCATTCAAAGTGACCTGGTGACCTGACCTTAAAAGTTAGGAGGTTCAAACTTGCACACCATGTGTAAAATTGATGAGGTTATAGTCATACCAAATTTCGCGGCGCTACGCGCCGCGGTTTTCCCGCTATTCGCAAAAAACCTCAGGGGGGGGCGGATATCCGCCCCCCCCCCGTCGGTGCGCGGGTTAACAACCTTGCAGCTGACCACACAATTTCCAGTTGTGGAAGCTCTCAAAAGCGGCCCATCAAGATGAATGACATCAACTGGATGTGGTTGCCTGTTTCAACCAATAACAGAATAAATAAGGTTAGGTGAGGTTAAATTTGGTTAAATTAGACTAGCTTGGATAAGGTCAGGCTGGGATGAAAGTTTCAAATGCAAACATCTGTGCTGACATTTAGTTCATTTATTCATGCCTTAAAGTGTCATCAGTAATTACCTAGTGGTTAAGTCAAAAACACCTGCAACCTGAGCCCTGCTTCAAGGCATGCCGCTGCAGGGTGCAGTGCAATGCTGCTGTATTGGTGCAGCGTTTCAGACTAATGCTGCTGTATTGGTGCAGCGTTTCAGACTAATTCGCCTTGGCGCCCAAGCCTTGCAAGCATCTAAGCTAATTGATGTTTCCATGGAAATCCAATACACCACTACACGCACGGACGCAATGCACTGTAACATCATGCCTTGAAACAGGGTCCCTGCATGCAGCAATTTCTTTTGCTTCTACTGTCCACCAATTAGTGATACAATACAAAAGTCTACCATGTTTGAAGCAATTCTTTCAAAACATTTATAACTTTTAGTTTATAACAAGACTGAGACTGTTCCTGAATTTGATGATATACACCATACACAGAGTCATGAAAGCATTAAAATATAGCCATGCGAATCGCAGGCGACGCAGGGGACAACACACACACACATCTATTTCCACTTTGGAAAATATTCGTTGTAAAATAACCATTCTGCATCCTAACCTCCAAGCCGAAAGAAAGTAAAGCGATGATCATACATAGCGAATACAATGACTGAAAGCATTTTGGGGATTTAGAACATCTGACGTTTAAAAACACAAATATATTTTTTGTTACCTCTGAATGAACGCAGTTTTCTGATAAAAAATCTAACGATCAGACGATAAGCAGCTAAAAGGTTAACTAGTATTCTATAAATCTTAATCTTTAAATCTAATCTATAAATAAATCTAAAACATATTATATATCCTGATGATGTCATTTGCAAACCATAAGCAACATTTCATATTTTACGCTGCCATATGAAGGCAGCTTGTACTTGTACTTGTACTTGTTGGGTTAGGGCGCATAGCCTCGTTGGGCTCAAGCGTCCGTAGTTGTTGTCATCAGTGCGCCATTCTTGTCTCGATCGAGTAGATGTTGCAATCGGTTGCAGCCAGATTGTGCAGAGGGAAACTAAGCAGATGAAGGAAAATGATAGGTTTAGCATGGGATGGCATGGGGATGTATGCGCGGGCTTCGGATATGTCCAGGCAGGAAATGTCCGGTGAAGTATATTAGTAACGGTTAGTTTCTAACATATAACTGATTAAAAACTTAAAAATAGAAACAAAAAGGATGGTTTCTGGTTATGAGTCATTCAATCATAACGCTCTTGACCTCGCATCTGTCCAGCGAGCCATTCAGTTCAAAAGGATCTTCAGGCACGAGTCTGCTCTTGGTACCTCACTCAGTTATCAACTTGCGTTGGAGGGTTCATGTCTCATGATCATACCGATCATAACGAGCCTCAACTTCGGAACTATGCGACTACTTCTACAAAAGAAGGGACCGGATGGTACAAAAAAGATTAACGAAGGTATACATCCAAGAGAAATCTAGAAAAAGAAACTACAGTAGCAAACCAGTACAGGCTGCTCTTCATTCATCCACTAACTGCATCCATCTCTCACACCGATGCATCTCCACTCCCGCATCCTTCTCATTCAACATTCAATCTCCATTCATCCAATCATTCCCACACAATGCACGACTGTTACACACATGAGGACGTCCACAGAGCAGTCGCAGCACATAACACAAAACACCAGAGAGACGATAAAGTTAACAATCAACACAAATTACAAAAGCAGGAGATCACATCAATGTGCCAGATCGACGGCCATGCCCTCCGCATCAGTCGCGACGGGGTTCGCCAATCGGCAGGTAGACTAACATAATCCAATAATTGCACATGATAGCTTCAAACACAAATAATCACAGCTAGTTCATCGCAGATCATCGCAGTCACAGCTTTTTGAAGAGATTGGTAGCACGTAGGAACCTGAAAACCTCGTCAGTGATGTCCGGGTGTTGATCACCCAGAAGAGTTTTCAGGGTAAGTGGTACATCCAATTGAAGGCACTTCTGAACAATCGATTGTCGGTGAGTAGCATACACTGGGCACTCCACAAGTATATGTTTAACTGACTGGGGACACAAACATCGGTTACATTCAGGCCTGGGGTCTCTATCTATTATATGTCCGTGAGTGAATCGTGTATGTCCTATTCGCATGCGACATAACAAGATTTCCTCCCTGCGACTGGCGCGTTTACAAGATGACCATGATCCAACTTCATCCTTTATCAACTTCAAGTTGGTGTTTGAGTTATACTGCTGCCAGCACTGATTGAACAGGCGACGGACAGACAACCGGGATAGTGCTCTTTGGGACCCATTTCAAGGACTACTATTTGATCCAGCGAGATAGCCTCCCTGGCCTGACGGTCAGCTAGCTCGTTCCCAGTGATGCTGCAGTGTCCAGGGATCCACAAAATAACAAGTTCGCGATCAGACAAAGTAATCAATCGATGACAGGTCTCTAAAATCTTCATGATAGTAGGATGGGAAGTGACCGGCCATATGAAGGCAGCCTTAAAATAAACATGTGCTTTTTTGACTCTTTTGCGCCATGAATGTATGCATAATATTTTGAAGTTATGCGCATACGATTTTCATGTCAGGATTTCTATTTTCTTTGCTTCAATTTTCAGGTACCCAATTCATATAAAATGATATGAACATGGGATCAATAAGGCGCCTCTAAAGCATGCGAGATGCCCCCAAAAAAAGATTGATACAAAATTTCAGCCAACCAGAGCTCGCTTTGCGATTACGTCACAAAGCTTGTTTCCGGCTGTGTGTGAAAAAAGATTGTGGCTCTGTGTGTGTGAGAGAGGGTGTGTGGCGCGGTCGGTTATTTAATATTTTTAATTGCAATTTTCCAGTGTTTGTTATTTATATATATGTTTCCTGGTAGTCATAGACTTATGAGAGCTGAGTGTCAATTGCAATTTTCCATAATGTTTTATATACTGATACTCTTGCTGCCTGTCTTAGTTGCCTGTCGTCTTCTTCACTGATTCCTCCGTTTGTGTTTTTTGCAATTTATTTTTCAACATTCTATCTGAGTGTGTTAGCCACAATCACAGTTTGTACCAGCTGCCTAATTGTTTGTATGCATAATCCTAGTCTTCGTTCAGCACTTGTAGGTACCGCCAAAAGTAGAAATGCAATGGCTTTATTCAACTAAATTTGACATGTGCATGTGTGCCTGGGGACAAAACAGAAAACAACTAGTATTAGTGCTAGTAAGTACACCAAAGTGCACCACATTCAGACGGTTACCTAACTAACGGGCAGTTTACCACATTCTCCCCTGCTGTGCTAAAAAGACATGAATAGGCAGTTATCAAACAGCCATACAACAATGAACAAACAGTCATACCTTACAGGCACCTTTGTTCATGTTTTCATAAGATAAGGCATGTGACTGGCTTTGATGAGCGTCTTAGTATACATGTTCTCATACCTATGTTAAGACGTACCACTGGCATTCTTGTATGGTTAGACCAACGTGGTTCAGTCGCCGGTTCTGACTGGTTCGATGGCAGCACGCTTGATCGGGGTTGTCGTTGTGGGTGATGCGGCACGCCCAGGGATGATGCAACGAGGGCTCTGAGCAAAGCGACAAGCCTGGAGACTGCACGCTCTAAGACGGCGCATCCGAGGGCCCCAAACGAACGCCCAGGAACCCCGGCCGGCTTGCTCGTTGCCTTCCCTTCTCATTTCCTTGCTAGTTGCTGCTGTGCACAACTGCCAGGGGCGAGAACTTGCAGAGAGACTGTGTTGAACTTGCTGCCCGGATAGCGCACGAAAGCCTAGTGCGAAAGTGGGTTGACCTCCAGGATTTCGACTGGCTCAACGGGCAGGTCGAGCTTTTCTCGGACGTATTTCTTCAAGAGAACCTGCCCGGGATTGAGGAGCCAGGATGGTAGCAAAGTCCCAGTGGCAGACCGCCGTTGGAAAGAGAACATCCTTTCGTGTGGGGTGGCATTTTGTTGCTGTGCACAGCAGAGACCAGATAGAATGCAAGATGTCAGGCAGGACGGCGTCCCATTGTCCTCTGCTCAACTTCCTGCTCTCCATAGCGAGTTGAACAGCACGCCAGATGGTGCCGTTAAGCCGCTCACATTGTGAGTTGCCTTCGGGGTGGTACGGTGTCGTGCGACTCGTGGCGATCCCCAGTCCTGTCAGGAAGGATCGAAGCTCGGGACGCCGCCGATTTTTGTACTCCGCAGTGACGGAGTACAACGGGCTTCCTCCAGCACTGCGCAACGTAGGTCAGGCTGCTTTCAAGGCCAGACTGAGAAAGCACCTTCATGAGCGCGAGCAAGTGACGTAAACGGCGGTAAATGTATGCTGAATGTGTTGTCAATTTGTCTGATCCGACTGTGTGAATTGTGATGCCGCGTGTTTGTTTCATCATCATTGCCCCCCATTCTGTATCTGACTCGAGCATGTAATAGCCGTATTTTTCCACGGATTTGCCTCACGATGTGAAATAAATAAATAAATAAATAAATAAATAAATAAATAAATAAGCTCAGCTGTCATGAAAGCTGAACCGCGGTCGGAGGTATGCCGGCTTCCCGAAGATGGAGATGAGATGAGTGAGACACTTTATTACGGTGGCGACTGGCGGCTGTCATATCCTGGCAGGTTTAGGCGAATGGGAACCGGGAGAACTCGTCGATCATAGTGAGGATGTACGTACTGGCTGCCGTTCGGACTTGTGGATAGGGGACCTTTGAAGTCCAAGTTGATTCTCCCGAATGGAGATGTAGCATTCAGCAGCTTCGCGGAGGTGGCCCTCAAGAAGTTCGGCTTACATCGACAGCAGGCCGGGCAGTTGGAGGTGACGCGGCACACGTCATCCACGGACACGGAGTAGGACATATTCTTGCTGCGCACAAAGTGCAGCGTCCTCGCTACTCCGGGGTGAACGAGAGACTTGTACAGCTGCTCCAGAGCTGGATATGAGGCGGCTGCACAGTGGGCGCGGCTGAACGTATCAACAGGAATGTTTTCTCGTCCTGGCTGGTACCTTATGGTGATCGAGGACGCTGAACAAGCTGTTTTCCCGACCTTGTTGACGAGTTCGCCGACGATCGGCAGCAGATACGCGTCCAGTTCATTGAATCTGTTGATAAGAGAGTAGTGAACGACCACCCTTTTCTTCTTGTTTTCGGCGTGTGTGGCCAAGATTCTTACTGTGTGGCGACAACTTGGACACGCCAGGGTGAGCGGCTTGGCTCGATGACGCCCTCGTTTAGCAGACGTTGAACTTCGTTCTCAACGAACTTGAACAATGAACTGCTCTGGTCGCGATAGGGTGGCAGTTGGAGGATGCCGCCTGACTGACTTTCATCTGCGCGAGATCGCAGATACTGAGCTCGTGTTCATCGCCACCAAGCTCCAGGGTTACACCCTCGTGTCTACGGAGGAACGGCATGCGGAGGATGACGTCCGTGCAGAGATCCAGGAGGATGGACAGTTCGACCTCCCGGTACTCCCGATCGTCAACGGTCACAGTTGACACGCTGTATCCTCGCACCTGTGTTGGGAGACTGGACGATGCCATGGAGACTTTAGACGAGCACCCTCATGCCGAGTGCGGGGACGAGCTTTGCGCTGATGAAGTTGTCAGAGCTCCCTGTGTCAATGAGAGCTGTGACCTGACGCCCGTTGACTCTCGCGCTCACTGTTGCTGGCGCGTGAGTAGCGGCGGCAGAGTTTGAGGCTGCGAGCGTGGGCGAGAGCTCCGGCTGGCGGGGTTCTTCGGGGTAGGACTCGTACTCCTCCTGTACGGCCGACGCGTTAGCCACTGCCGACTTGGAGCGGCACACCTTCTGCCAATGTCTGGATTTGCCGCACTTTTCCAAAGGTTGAGTTTCTTGCAGGACACTGACAGACTGCTCATGGGTGGCGTGATGCTCTATGGCGGTGACGGCGGCGAAGTTACAGTCACCCGCCAGGCTGTTCAAAGCCAGAAGGAACTCATCGATGTTTTCTTCTGGCTTTTGGTGCCTTGTTGACAGCAGGTGCCGCGCATATATTTCGTTTGGCGTCTTCAGATATGCAGCGTCGAGTTGCTTCAGGGCTGCGTCGTATGTACGTCTGACAGTCTTGAATCACGTCTACGATTTCTGGTCCGATATGGAGAAAGAGTGGCTCAAACTTGTCCGGATTGTGACTTTCGATAGTTGCCAAGAAGTTCTTGAATCAAACTATCCTCAAGCCAATCCAACTTCAGCCCAGTAGCGGCGGAACACCTTCAGTTAAGAGGGGGCACTGCCGACTTTTGGTCCCATTCTTTCCATGCAACGCCCATAGGGCTAATGTTGAAATGTCAAAATCAAAGGGGGGCACGGTGCCCCGGTGCCCTCCCCGTTCCGCCGCCTATGCTTCAGCCAACTCAACTCCAACTGATTGGAATCCTCAGAGCCAGACCTTACATTTCTTGTGAGCTTGAGGATGGTGTGGAGGGACGTCGAACTTGTCTGAAACCTAAAAGCTAGGTTTCTATTTAATGGCCTACGTTTGCCTCTTATGTTCGAGTGTTGGTGGTCGGCCAAATCGACTATTTTTACTCCATTACTGGCCATAGTCAGGATGAGAGCCTCATTTGGGACCATAATGAACCAACAGCAGGGGTGAATACCTCTACTGAGACTGCGGCTCCAGTTTCCTACAACCAGCTCTGTAATTTCTTCTGTGATTGACGATCTGTCCTTCATTTCAGGTTGACTTCTGGGGAAGAGCTAGACTGCAAATAAAATGGCCTAAACAGTTGCTATGTACTTAAAATGCAAACTCTACATGTCATTAGCGCGATCCAAATGAACTGTGTTTAGCGGCCAGCTTTGCTACGTTTGAGAAGACCATCCACATTACCATAATGGTGCAGTCCAGGAGAGAAGTGAGAATTCTGCTGCTGGGAGAGCCGGGAGTGGGGAAAACCTCACTCATCCTCTCACTGGTAAGCTGTTTATTGTCGATGAATTGTAGTATTTGCGAAAGTACCTAATGTCTTGATTCCCTATGAAAAGCAGTTCCAAGCCTTTGGGCTTGGGAATGCATGCTGCCTGTATTGTTAGGTGTTGATTACATGGTCTTGTTATTAATTTCTGCAATTATTTGTTTTGTGATATAAGTTTTCAGCTTTGTCAAAATCGATTCGTTATTTCTGATTTGTTGTTAATAGAATTTCTATTGTATAAGCATGAGTAACTGTCACATTTAAACATCAGATGAATCTGGTGAATCATCTGTGATGATTTGTTGGTGATTTGTCTGGCTGACAAGTGAACCAATTACTGCTGCCCGGGTGATCTGCAGGTGAATAATGAATGCTATAGTGGCAAAAATCCAAACGATTCATTGACTACTATCCGTTCAGTTCCCCATTGGTTTCTCTTAATTCCCACCATAGTAACACTAAGTATGGTTCAATGAATGGGACCGATCTCACCGCCATCGCGGCCGGTTTGAGGAGCAAATAGCGAGCGGCATGAGAATCGAACCGCCCCCTATCCGTCGGTCTGCTCAAACCGAGTTGACGCCCTGTCAACTCACCGTCGGTTCCATTCGACCACGGCCAGTGCCAAGAAACACGATCAGAGGGTGGATGTAAATGATGACAGAGAACAAATAAACATGCAACTGTGGTCAAGGGCACTGGAGCGGTGCCTCTTCGGGAGGACAGTCTCATTGCATGGCTGTTGGGGTTGACATTGCAATTTTTGTGTGATTGTTGACATTGTAATATTGACGACATTGTAATGTATTTGTTATGACCGTTGCTCGTTCGATCTTGGCAGATTACACGACTACTTTTTATCGATAACAGATGTTATTGTCTTATCAGCCAACTAAGTGGTATGTTCAACAACTGTCTGCATCGCACTGAAATCGCAATCTGATCTCTGGTACGGCGACATTCTGTCGTCCTTGTCCGTAACATATATATATGCGACAGACCATTTGAGATCAACGTCTCCAAGCGTGCAAATTTAGGTTAATTAATTTCCAGCATTACGCAATGCAAATTCCATGATTTGATGCTAAGCTGTGGACAAGAGATTCGTGTAAAAAATATGTGGGCGCTGGTCCCATATCATTTCTTTATTTCTTTTCACTCCCTCAAATTTAACAGGTTGTTTTGTCGGTGAGGGCTCGCTGATGCGGTGTCTAGTGGGGTTTCTGATTCCCACTGGGGCACCTCGCTCCTGGTGAGCGGAGAGAGAGTTTTTGTCTTTGACCACTGTGCTGTCTGTACCGCTGTATGTGGCGGCTATCTGTGTGTGCCCTTCCCTGCTGTCTGCGTTCGATTCTTACCGGAATACCCCCATCCCTCCACAGGCGAGCACGGAGTTTCGCGTCGAGATGTTGTTTGTGTCTGTGACCGCTGTCTGTGTATGGTGTCTGATCTCCACCTGAATACCCCCTCCGGCCTCCACAGGTCAGTGAGGAGTTTCCCGAGGAGGTGCCGGCCCGGTCGGAGGAGATCACCATCCCCGCCGACGTGACGCCCGAAAAGGTGCCCACGCACATCGTCGACTACTCGTGTAAGTGTGACAAAACACTGTATTCAAAGGTGCCCACGCACATCGTCGACTACTCGTGTAAGTGTGACAAAACACTGTATTCAAAGGTGCCCACGCACATCGTCGACTACTCGTGTAAGTGTGACAAAACACTGTATTCAAAGGTGCCCACGCACATCGTCGACTACTCGTGTAAGTGTGACATACCCCATCACTATATTCACTGTATTCAAAGGTGCCCACGCACATCGTCGACTACTCGTGTAAGTGGGACATACTCTATCACTATATTCACTGTATTCAAAGGTGCCCACGCACATCGTCGACTACTCGTGTAAGTGTGACAAAACACTGTATTCAAAGGTGCCCACGCACATCGTCGACTACTCGTGTAAGTGTGACAAAACACTGTATTCAAAGGTGCCCACGCACATCGTCGACTACTCGTGTAAGTGTGACATACCCCATCACTATATTCTCTGTATTCAAAGGTGCCCACGCACATCGTCGACTACTCGTGTAAGTGTGACACATCCCATCTCTAAACAGTGTATTCAAAGGTGCCCACGCACATCGTCGACTACTCATGTAAGTGTGACATACCCCATCACTATATTCTCTGTATTCAAAGGTGCCCACGCACATCGTCGACTACTCGTGTAAGTGTGACACGTCCCATCACTATAAACAGTGTATTCAAAGGTGCCCAGCCCACGCACATCGTCGACTACTCGTGTAAGTGTGACAAAACAGTGTATTCAAAGGTGCCCACACACATCGTCGACTACTCGTGTGTGACATACCCCATCACTACATATATAATATATTCAATGTATTCAAAGGTGCCCACGCACATTGTCGACTACTCGTGTAAGTGTGACATACCCCATCACTATATTCACTGTATTCAAAGGTGCCCACGCACATTGTCGGCTACTCGTGTAAGTGTTACATACCCCATCACTATATTCACTGTATTCAAAGGTGCCCACACACATCGTCGACTACTCGTGTGTGATATACCCTATCACTATATTCTATTCACTGTATTCAAAGGTGCTCACGCACATTGTCGGCTACTCGTGTAAGTGTGACACATCCCATCTCTAAACACTGTATTCAAAGGTGCCCAGCCCACGCACATCGTCGACTACTCGTGTAAGTGTGACAAAACAGTGTATTCAAAGGTGCCCACACACATCGTCGACTACTCGTGTGTGACATACCCCATCACTACATATATAATATATTCAATGTATTCAAAGGTGCCCACGCACATTGTCGACTACTCGTGTAAGTGTGACATACCCCATCACTATATTCACTGTATTCAAAGGTGCCCACGCACATTGTCGGCTACTCGTGTAAGTGTTACATACCCCATCACTATATTCACTGTATTCAAAGGTGCCCACACACATCGTCGACTACTCGTGTGTGATATACCCTATCACTATATTCTATTCACTGTATTCAAAGGTGCCCACGCACATCGTCGACTACTCGTGTAAGTGTGACACATCCCATCTCTAAACAGTGTATTCAAAGGTGCCCACGCACATCGTCGACTACTCATGTAAGTGTGACATACCCCATCACTATATTCTCTGTATTCAAAGGTGCCCACGCACATCGTCGACTACTCGTGTAAGTGTGACACGTCCCATCACTATAAACAGTGTATTCAAAGGTGCCCAGCCCACGCACATCGTCGACTACTCGTGTAAGTGTGACAAAACAGTGTATTCAAAGGTGCCCACACACATCGTCGACTACTCGTGTGTGACATACCCCATCACTACATATATAATATATTCAATGTATTCAAAGGTGCCCACGCACATCGTCGACTACTCGTGTAAGTGTGACATACCCCATCACTATATTCACTGTATTCAAAGGTGCCCACGCACATTGTCGGCTACTCGTGTAAGTGTTACATACCCCATCACTATATTCACTGTATTCAAAGGTGCCCACACACATCGTCGACTACTCGTGTGTGATATACCCTATCACTATATTCTATTCACTGTATTCAAAGGTGCTCACGCACATTGTCGGCTACTCGTGTAAGTGTGACTCAACCCGGCCCACTTTATCCACAATGTTCTGAACGTGTGATATATTTTGTTAGGTAAAAATTTCATGCTTAAGTTCAGATAAAAATGTGCGTGCTCTGGCCAGCATAATGAGTTGCTATACGTAAATGGAAGAACGGACGAATGAATGAATGAATGAATGAATGAATGAATGAATGAATGAATGAATGAATGAATGAATGAATGAATGAATGAATGAATGAATGAATGAAACCTACTGACACTGCCTCCCCCACCACACACATATACCTGACACCCCCCTCCCCCATCAGCTCTGGAGCAGACTGAGGACACCAGCTTCTGGCAGAGATTCTGACACCCCCCCCCCCCCCACAAACACATACTGACACCCCTCCCCCGTCAGCTCTGGAGCAGACAGAGGACCAGCTTCTGGCGGAGATTCTGCGCGCTCACGTCATCTGCGTCATCTACGCCGTCGACGATGAGGACACGCTGGACAAGGTAGGACAGTTGAGAGGTGTGCGGTACATAAATTTCGGTTATTGCATTGTAGAGCGGTAGAGGTGCTCATTGCTCAGGCCTCAGAGCTAGGAAGATGGGGCTGAATGACCGGCCCCAGGCCCCAGGGTGCCGCACTGGATTGCTGGTTTTGAAGACATCTTTCGTCTGCCTCTTTCTTTGGGGTTGTTTGTTTTCTTCTCTTCCTCTTCCTCTCGCACTTTTCCTCTAATTATTACAACTGAAATTGACTTCCAATGTCACTTAGTTATGTAGCCAGCTTTAGGGGCACTGCTGGTAGCCGGTAGGGCCATGAAGAGAACATGGGCGCCGATGATGACCACTGTAGTCAGGGCGCCCAAAAACCCCAATTCATCATCATCATCATCATCATGAAGAAAGCCTGCTGGAATTCGAACGGGTTCAGGCTGCAGGCTTTCGTGAGAGTCAGAGTCAATATCGTCTCTCGGGCCAATATTTTTTTTTTCACACGAATTTCATAATACTGGCGCGGCTTTGTCGTTTCGTCATACCCACGGCTGCCAGCTGGCAGCTGGCATTTATACCGGCTATGACGTACTCCGTACTATTGTTAGTTGTTGCTGTTGTTGTTTTATGTTTTACATGTCGCCAATAAACACAGGGGTTCGAAACGCTTCAGTTTTGATGGTTGCTGTCCGGACCTTGTGCTTATATATCTATCGTAGGCTTATTTTGCCATGGTTTGCCGCTTCTTATGTTCACATGTATTTTGGAAAAGCGAGAATATACAGTTAGTGTGTATATGTGATTCGAACTCAGTGTTTGTGGATTCTTAGCTCAGTTTTCTACCCTTTCCTCCGTAAGGCACCGATGTATCCTATGAACGCCCTGTTGTGTACACTTTTGTTTACGTTGTCGCTCGCCATTGTGTTGCAGTTTACACACTGTACGTGTGAGTTGAGTGTCTAAGTTGCTATGTTTGCCACTGCAATCTACCGTGCGCTGACGGTCTCCCTTCTTTGCCAGGTGACGGACTACTGGCTGCCGCTGGTGCGTCAAACTCTGGGAGAGGAACACTCGACCCCCGTCATACTGGTCGGAAACAAGGTACGAACGCGGTCAGTCAGGAAAACCATGTATGGGAGAGGGACCTATCAACGGGGGGGGGGGGGGGGGTAGTAATACTCTACCGGAAACGAGGTACTAGCCCGGCGAGGTAAACTATGGGAGAAGACGCCTTCTTGACAGTTCTTGACAGGCTGTGGCGATAGCTTGCTTGGCCACATTTTCCGTTCTTAAACTGACTTTGAAACAATAAACAACGAACGAGCATTGTTGCAAAGCTTTACAAGACACCCTTGCTTTGTGTAGCTCAACCACAACCTCGGTCGTAAACTCTGGTAAACTCTGTTCATATCTATTACAGCTGTTACTATGGCCTAGCATCGTAATTTCGTGATGTGTCATTTTGATTAAATTTATGCCTCTTGTCGCTCTGTTCCGCATAGCAAACTACGTTCTTTTCTCTTTGCACTTCTCGTCCGGAAGCGTCTCTAGAAACTGTCCTCACAGTGCATATCGCTCTATTGCCGCGTAGCCGGTTTTTCGTTGTTAACCGGTGATGTCGAAATACTCCGAGCGTTGACTCCCGCCCGGCACCTATCGGAGTGTTGATCTCCGCACCTTTGTGGCGCGGCTGGGTGAAGGGGCGTTGACACAGTTTTGCAGCTCCTCAGTCACATTTACTAAATCGCCAGGTAGATGGACCGTAAAACGGATACAGCATCTCATATTCTGCTGGTTTATTGACATGATACACTGTTGTCAGCCTTGCTGGGCTGTGTTGGATTAGCTCGTTTTTTTCTATGACAGTGACAATATTCTCCGTGGTTCTAATGTGAGCAAGGCAAAAATGTACTTCGTAGGATAAATATATTCGGCGAAATTTGCGAAATCTCTAGCTATTTACGTAGGCCATCTGCTCAAGCTTTTGCATTTGAATGCAGCATTTTTTTTTAAAGGTAGTGTGCCACCTTTGAAAGATTTCCCATTTTATTTTTCCTAGGATAAGAAGCTTCTGTTTTTACCTAATATCGCAAAAAAATCAAAAATGGGCCTGGAATAGTGCCTTTTTCGCCTAAAAGTTTTTCGGTTTTTAGATATGTATAACAACTGTAGTGGACTCACCTGCAAACAGGCGTCGGGCAACAATCGCGATTGCGGCGCACTTGTGACAATAAGCAAAGGTCATTATAGTGTTACGACCATACGACGTACGGGAATGAGTTATCAGCTGTCTAATCGTAGACAACACAATGTCGAGCCTTAAACTGTAAGCCCGTATTGGTATTGTTTCTTTTATTTGGCTGTCTAACATTATTTATGGTTTGAAATATGATTTTATGTAAAATAATTGATATGAAAAAGCCGTCTTATAAGTTATGACCCCATTTCACCACACGCAAGTGGCAGAAATGACAATGATCAGCTGACGCATTTTTCTTGGCCGAAGTCAGAGCGCGCGGCCCGACGCACCACGCGTATTTGGAAATTCCGACCTCGACGAGCATCAGAAGCCACCTAACAGGCGTGTTCGAAACCGCAGGAGATGATGATGAACGGGTTTATCGAAACTTGATTGGATGAGCATATCGGTAATAGCGATTTCAGTGTGTGCATTTATTGTTCATAGTGGTGTGAAATGTGGTTGGGGTACGACCGACAACCCGTCGGGGCGAATTTCGCACTGGGGTACTCAAAATTTGAAGAATTTAAGACGTTTCCATGAGTTTTGAAGGTATGGATAAGTTCTAAAAATCCGGTTCTCCTTATCTGGGCCATTAACTCCATACGGTCCAAGAAAGCTGGCACACTACCTTTAATTAATAGGCTGCTTTTCGTATTAAATGTCCGCGAAGGTAATTTCGCCGTGTAGATAGTTTCTAGATTCGAACCCGTGTCCCCCGCACACTGCACCGGCGTCGACTGACTGAGCGTACCGGCGCCGTCTGACTGAGCGTACCCGCGCCTTCTGACTGAGCGTACCCGCGCCTTCTCGCGGGTCTGACTGAGCGTACCCGCCCTGTCTGACTGAGCGTACCCACGCCGCCTGACTGAGCGTACCCGCGCCGTCCGACTGAGCGTACCCGCGCCGTCTGACTGAGCGTACCCGCGCCGTCTGACTGAGCGTACCCGCGCTGTCTGACTGAGCGTACCCGCGCCGTCTGACTGAGCGTACCCGCGCCTTCTCGCGGGTCTGACTGAGCGTATCCGCGCCTTCTGACTGAGCGTACCCGCGCCTTCTCGCGGGTCTGACTGAGCGTACATGCGCTGTCTGACTGAGCGTACCCGCGCCGTCTGACTGAGCGTACCCGCGCCTTCTGACTGAGCGTACCCGCGCCGTCTGACTGAGCGTACCCGTGCCGTCTGACTGAGCGTACCTGACTGAGCGTACCGGCGCCGTCTGACCGAGCCCCTCTCCCCCGGACAGGTGGACCTGGTGGAGTACAGCACGCTCGAGGCCGTCATACCCATCATGAACGAGTTCGCCGAAATCGAGACATGCGTCGAGGTACGGTGTTGTAACGTCATCATAGCTACAGGCTACAGTGCGTTTGTTTAGGCGGCTGAAGTGTGCGGTTTTTATCCAAATATCTGTCTTTTGAGACCAATGCCGTACTAAATATTTTCATTGCTTCATGCCATGACGTGCTAATCCGGGTTCAAATGCGGTCCTTTAGTATTGATATTATCAGCCTTATATTAATATCTTATTGCGCATCTTTCTTTGAATTTCCAACACCTTAACACTGTTAGGTAGTTGATACCCTATTTCCTGCGTAGCCTCATGCTTTATACAGAAGATATACTTTTGCTCGATAATTTGCCAGCTAATGATGCTGTCCTTTCATCGACCATTGATGTATGTCCGTTGCAGTGCTCGGCGCGGACGTTGAAGAACATCTCTGAGATGTTTTATTACGCTCAGAAGGCCATTCTTCACCCCACTGCGCCCCTGTTCAACACAGCCGAACGAGACGTGAGTCAAACTGGAAGTGAGGGATTTTAAAAGTGATGATTGACGACTTGGATTCTCAAAATATCAGTTTTTCACCTTTTTTACATGATGTTCCATAAATAATGACAACTTGTGGTTTGGGTTTGCCATGCAATATTGTTGAACACCTATTTGTAGTTCAAACTGACTCCCGTTCTCCCCACGCTCTGGTCTGACCTCTGCTTCTCTCTCACCAACAGCTTACGGAGGCCTGCAAAGCAGCGCTGGGTAGAATCTTCAAGGTGAGACTTACAGCTCTTTCAAAAGTGTCTGTAACCGGAAACTCGCCGCGCCTCAGTTATAGGCATTTGCGTTTGTTGGAACTGTACTTATTGACCTCAATCAGTAACAAAACCGCCAATTTCAAGTGAACCACAGGGTATTTAGTCGGCGACGTACTCTCCGACTCTCGTTCACTCATGTATTTATCTATTTACTCACTTTGACTCACTTGTTTCTTTGTGTTTCTCTCACCCACCCGCTGCATATACCGCCCTTTCGGCAGAGCCGTCTGTATATTGTGACTGCATATCAGACTTCCCCTCCCGTCCTCAGATTTGTGACATGGATAACGACGGTCTTCTCTCGGATACGGAGCTCAACACGTTCCAGCGTCGCTGCTTCAACGCGCCACTGCAGCCACAGGGACTCGACGACGTCAAGTCCATCGTCATGAAGAACGTCAGGGATGGCGTGGTCGACGACGCGCTTACACTGGACGGTGAGATTTGATGTGGAACAGGGGGAAGGAGGGGATGTGTGAGCTCCGATGTATGGCCGGCAAGCTCCACGTCGTTTGACCCGCGTTTCTATATTTAGCGAGCTAGCAATTACTGGTGAGAGAGGGCCACGCTAGACCCGGTAGAATTGTGTTGCCATCTACCAGCCTACGATACTTATTTCCCTTCCAGACCCAGACCAAGCCGTGATAACAGATAACAGCTGCTGCCCTAACATTGCCTCTGCAGTCTGCATCGGTTTTTCTTAAACAGCTGCGTCTTCTATCTAACAACTTTTCCCCACAGCTGAATTACTGCGCATCTGTGTGACTGTATTAGCCGCGCCTCAGCCGTCGTGGTGACCGGCCCCCGTATCGCCGCAGGGTTCCTGTTCCTGCACTGTCTGTTTATTCAGCGCGGCCGGCACGAGACGACGTGGACCGTGCTGCGGAAATTCGGCTACGGAGACGACCTGACGCTCACCAAAGAGTACCTCTTCCCGCCGTGAGTAGACGACCCGGCATCAAAGAGTTCTTCCCGCCGTGAATAGTTCCTCTTCCCGCCTCGAGTAGACGACCTCTAGCTCACCAAAGTGTACCTCTTCCCACCGTGAGTAGATGACCTCTAGCTCACCAAAGAGTACCTCTTCCCGCCGTGAGTAGATGTCTTCTAGCTCACCAAAGAGTTGTAACTTCCCGCCGTGAGTAGACGACCTCTAGCTCACCAAAGAGTACCTGGTCCTACCGTGAGTAATTCCTTTTCCCGCCGTGAGTAGTTCCTCTTTCCGCCGTGAGTAGACGACCTCTAGCTCACCAAAGTGTACCGTCCTCTTCCCGCCGTGAGTCTTATGTGGGAGGGCCAGCTAATCTCAGCACTTCAAAGAACCCGCTGTGATTGATCACTTACATACGTCAGTCACTGACGATCCACTGTGGATGGGGTGCCTTTTCTGCTTCTTTTCATCATGACTGGTCTGGAAAAGACATACATATCTCGAATGAGATATTCATTGGAAGAAAAATAGAACATCCTCTTCCTTGTATGAATTGACGTCACCCCTCCATCGAAGGCCGTCTTAACGTGGTTGTCGGGCCTGATTTCTCAGTCTCTGCCCGTCCAATTCATCCCATCCCGTCCCGTTCCTGATCATTGAATCTCCTCCCCTCCCCATACCCCTTTTCCAGCCCCACAATCTCCGCCTTTCCCAATCCGTCCCCCCTCACTGCCCAGTGTCCATCCCTGAGTGTCCCCCGCTCCCCTGATTCCAGTCTCGCCGTCCATCACACTCCGGTCCGCCCCTATTTTATCCTTCCCGGTCCTGGCCTCGCACCTCTCCCCGTTCCCGGTTCCAGCCCTGTCGTCCCCTCCCGTCCCAGTCCGTCCCTGACCGTCCCTGACCGTCCCGTCCCTTACCTCTCCTCTCCCTGTCCCCCGGTTCCAGCCCTGTCGTCCCGTCCCGTCCCAGCCTGTCTCTAGCGGCGCGCCTGCTGCCCGGCTCGCCCGTCCGCCGTCTCCCAATCAGTCCGAGCCACAGCGAGACCGCCCTGCACACGGCAGCACTCGACTCGTGGAGGTAGGACGACGGTAGTGGGGCCAGCCGAGCGCAGAAAGGGCGGGCCGTGCGGGACCGTGCCAGGGCTGGGGCCGGGAAGGAGGCGGTAGATATTTTTGATACGTTTGGACAAGGTGTATAGTTTTTACGGTCCTGGAAAATTGTTCTGATTAAATCGGGGAATTAGACGAAGTTAAAATGTCAGGCCGAAATCAAAATTTCGTGCTTCAACGGAAATTCGTGTATGTCTTTGTATAAAGTATTAGATGGTTCGTGATCGCCAGCATTTTGCTGACCACATGTTTCTGTTTTGTGTGTTTTCAGTCTGAGGATCCCGCCGGGCTGCTCGACTGAGCTGACTCACCAGGGATATCAGTTCCTCCAGGTCAGTACTGATTGCTTCGGGTCTGAGGGATACCAGTTTGTCCAGGTAAATCTTAGGGATTAGGATTAAACTTCGACTAAATTGCCGGTGATATATCTCAGTCCTTCCTTTCAGGCAAATGGTGATGATTAGGACTTGAACTACATGGGATTGGCCCACGATTCTTTGATTTTCGAGTTCATTTTGTGAAAAAAAGCTGTTAAAAAAAAAACAAGTGACATGAAGCACAGTTCTGTAAAATTTACAGAACTGTGTTACATTACAATGGTGTTGGTGGCTACACACCACCTGCTGTCTTATTTTTCTCGTCAACTATCTGTTTGTCTCTAATTGTTATACACTTCTGTTGCCACACAAATGTCTTTGTGCTGATGCCTGCTGCCACACACATGCGCTGATGCCTTTGTCTATTATCCGTGCCCAGGTGATGTTTGAGAAGTACGACCAGGACAAGGACGGCTGTCTGGACCCGGAGGAGCTCATCCAGCTCTTCTCCACCTGCCCCTATATACCCTGGGGAAAGCAGGTACGAGGCACTGCAATACAGGTGTAGTCACAGGTGCAAAGTTATCAATGGCCCCTTGGAATTTGTGTGCCGAATTTCTAAACAAATGTATGTCAAAACTCATTTACCTTTACCATATCAGCACTTCAAGCTGTGCATTTGACATTGCTTTTGCGATTCTCTCATTTCATTTCTCTCGCTGGCCTCCACCACTTTCCATATTATCCCCGCCTGGCGTTGAACCTTCGCCTTGCCGTCTGCCCGCTCGGCTGGCCGGCTCAGCTGACTGCCCGCTCCCGCAGGTGTACAACACGGTGCCGACGGACAGCCGCGGCTATCTGACGCTGCAGGGCTACCTGTCTCAGTGGACGCTGTGGACACTGCTGGGAGCCGGCCGCACGCTCGAGTACCTCGGACACCTGGGGTACAGCTACGTCATGGAGGAGCCCCAGTCGGCCGCCATACACGGTAAGGAGCCTGCTGTACACGGCAAGGAGTCCGTCATACACGGTAACGGATCCCAGTCGGCCGCCATACACGGTAAGGAGTCACCATACACGGTAAGGAGGCGGCCATACACAGTAAGGAGGCACTATACACGGGAAGGAGCCCGCCATACACGATGAGCCCAAGTCGGCGGCCATACACGGTAAGGAGGCACCATACACGGTAAAGGATCCCAGTCGGCCGCCATAAACGGTAAGGAGGCCGCGATATGCGGTAAGGAGTCCCAGTCGGCCGTCATACACGGTAAGGAGCCTGCTGTACACGGTAAGGAGTCCGCTATAGACGGTAAGGAGCCCCAGTCAGCCGCCATACACGGTAAGGAGCCTCAAGGAGACCCAGTCGGCCGTCATACACGGTAAAGGATCCCAGTCGGCCGCCATACACGGTAAGGAGTCCGAGATATGCGGTAAGGAGGCGGCCATACACGTTAAGGGACCCACCATATGTACACGGTAAGGAGTGGTCCTTAGTTGGCCGCCATACACGGTGTGTAGACTGTGGCAGGAACGTGGCTTCGATTCTCAACCGGGTGTTTTATTGTCAACATTCACGCTCATCAGATGTTGGGTTGTTTCTCGCCTTATGCCTCTGAATGTTATGCAGACACTATATAATGTAAGCATTCTGAGACTTAGATCCCTTTATTGCTGCTGGGTAGTTTGGTTTGACGTGTCTTACCAACGATGCCTTTGGAATACAGCGTAGTTTGCCATTTCAGCCATAACAAACTACCACAATGATGGACTTCTGTCTGAGTGTTCTGCGGCAGTGTCGTCTGATGCGCATGGTGCTGTGGCGCGACATGTCGCTGGTTCGACCTGTCTGTTGCCGCTCGGGTGTCTGCTGACCTCTGACGTTCTCTGGCCAGTGACCCGGGAGAAGCGGCTGGACCTGCAGAAGAAGCAGACGTCCCGCACCGCCTACCAGTGTCACGTGATCGGACCGAAGGGCGCCGGCAAGACAACGTTCTGCCAGGGACTGCTCAACAGGAACGCTGAGGTGAGAGGAGGGGTGCCAGTGTCACGTGATTGGTCTTTGTCAGGGACTGCTCAATAGGAACACAGAGTAAGACAGGGGTGCTATACCAGTGCCATGCAGCAGTGTTTGCTTGTAGAGTTATTGCAAAACGATTACAAGCTCAGTGCTCAGGCAAATGCATCAAATTTCACCATTGTTTTGTAATCTTACGCCAGGAAAAATATTGTGCATCACTTTCCATCCACTACACTTGTCCTGACCACGTATTTCGACAACCTTCCTACCTTTCTCGCGCTTTCGTTAAGCAAACCGTGTGTGTGATGTCTGTAGTCTGACCTCTTGCTACCCCACCCTCCCTCCCTCTCTCATACGGTTTCATATGTACTGTAGTCTGACTCCCCCCTCCCCCGCTCTTAGTCTGACTCCCCCTCTCCCTCCCCCAGTCGGTGTCCTCTGTGCTCGAGTCGGACCTCTCGAAGCAGACCATCAGCCCTGTGCAGGTATACGGCCAGGAGCGCTACCTTCTGCTGTGCGACATAGACGTGCACTCCGTCACCGACACTCTGCTGCCCTCGGAGGCGCAGTGCGACGTGGTCTGCCTCGTGTACGACGTGGCCGACCCGCGCAGCTTCGAGTACATCGGCGGCATCTATCTGGTTAGTGACTGGGGTGCGAAAATGATGGGTGGAGGTTAAGACGCCTTTGTGTAAGTATTTAACAGCGGAGATGTTTAATGTAGCAGCACTTTACTGGGACGCCAGAACCACATTTGTGGTAGATGATGAGCCTTGCCCACAGAAATGCATTCTTTGTGGAGATGCCTGTTTCGGGAGTCGGAACTCGATGTGGGGTCTTACATCAGTCGAAGACCTGTCGAGCCTCCCTCATTCGTTGTTCGGGCCGAGACTCCAGTCCCCGCCTAGTGGTGGGTAACTGTTTTACTCCTGTCCCGCAGAAGTACTTTGCCGAGACGCCGGTCCCCTGCCTAGTGGTGGGCAACAAGAATGGTCCCCTGCCTAGTGGTGGGTAACACTGTTTGTCTCCCGCCCACAGAAGTACTTTGCCGAGACCCCAGTACCGTGCCTAGTGGTGGGTAACAAGAGTGACCGCGGCGAGGTGCGTCAGCAGTACATGGCCCAGCCGGGGGAGTTCTGTCGCCGGCACCGTCTGCCGCCCCCGCAGACGGTCACCTGTACGGGCACAGTGCGGCGCGACGTCTACCTCAAACTGGCCACCATGGCCGCCTACCCGTGAGTGGGGGCTGTGGGTTCGATTCCCGGCGGGGAGGGGGGGGGGATAACTTAAGAGGGCTGAACTATAGGCGGTGGAGGGTTTGGTGATTGAGTAACGGGTAGTAGATGGTGTGAGTTAGTGCCTGTTATTGGGGGTCGGTTGGATTGTACCCTGTTTTAGTGGTTTGTAGGATCATGAAGAAGACACTGATCGCATGCCAAGCATGAAAATTGGGTTGGGCTGTCAGAGTATCCAGCTAACACTGTCAAATCGGTAAATTTGTCGACATTCCTCCCGTATGTGTATTTGGTGGTGTTGGTTCGTAGCCGTTGCACAAACGATGTCTTACAGACCCGGTTGTGTGACGCAGAATTGTGGTGTGTTTATGATGAATGAAGTCTACCCGGATGACGTTAGGAGTATGATCACAGGCGTGTGAACAAGACATTTCCGATTGTTTCTCAGCATTTTCAGCATTTTCCAAAAAAATTCATTTCATTCCAGCATTTTCAGCATTTTCTGATGCCAAACCACTCGCACCTCCTATTATTCATAAAACAGAAATCCCTTTTTCAAACAGTCCTGGTGCTTAGCCAGTGTTACGTATACCTTCCATCCCCTCCGTCCGTGTAGATAAAATCCCCATGCTGCTCCATCCGACCTACGCCATTCTGTTTCTTGTGTGTGCCTAGGAATACGTCGGCTCTGTCTCGTTGTATCAGTGTCTTTCCAGGGTCTGGTGTCTCGTTGTGTGGCCGGGTCTTGGTGTCGTGCTGTGGTTTGGTGTATCCGTCTCCCTGTCTCATGGTCTTGGGGGCCGGGTGTCGTGATGTGGTATAGCTGTCCGTGTTGGTGACTGGTGACTGGGCTGGTGCGTCGGGCAGCTGCCGTCACCAGTGGTGGTCGGAGGCCGTCAGCACCACCAGGTAACACCACCAGGCGGCACCACTCAGCCGGACCCGAGAAACGGGTGGCGTCAGCGTGTGTCTGTGCTGTCACGCTTTGCTTCACGATTTGGCTGTGCTGTGAATTGCTGTGATCACAAAGCAGAATCTGTATACGTTGTTCTAAAGAAAAAAAATGAAACAAATTTGACCACATCTCTCTTCATGTCTCTCTCCCCTTCATTCTCTCCCCCTCTCTCTCTCCCCTCTCTCCCCGCTCTCCCCCCTCTCTCTCTCTCTCACTCACGCTATCTCTCTTTCATCCCCTCCCCTATTTCCTCTCTTCTCTGTTCTCTCTTATCCTTGCCCTCTCTTATCCTTGCCCTCTCCTCCTTTCCTCTTATTAAATAATGTTTGCAGTCTTTCTCACCACTCACAAGTCACACTCAACAGAAACTCACGCTATTGCTGTGTCGTGTCCACACTGCTGTGTGTGCCATCCCGTATGTGGTCTACTCGTATGTCCACCGATTCGCTGCCGTCCTAGAGTGAGCCGATACCTACGGGGACTGAGAGTTTATGTGCTGAGTTGGACCCAGGGTTTTTGCCGTTTGTGCTGTGGTATTTTTGTGTAGCTGCTGTAAGGGCTGCTTATAAGTTTGTGGATTGACCGTGCCGGTTTTTGTGTTGATTTTGACCCTGGTCTCCCTGGCAGCGCACTATCCCAGGTTATCTTATGTCCATGTTGTGTTGTCCGGTGATATTAAACCCATTGACGCCATTAACAAGTCATAATCGTGATGTGTTTTGACTGTAATGTTTCTAACACACAAAGCTCTCATCCATTAAATATCCTATCTCCGTGACGCTGATCTTTGACTAATATGTGCTAGATGACTAATAGATAGTGTGCAATGGTAGCGGTATTGGTTACCCATGACCCGTGACCTGTGACCCTGGTGACCCTGAATAACATCCTCTGACCCCCACCGCTGCTCACTGTGACTGCTCAGTCGGTTCCTCCCGGCCTGGATGCTCTTCTCGCGCAGTGGAAGGTCAGTGAACCTGCACAGACTGAGCCGCAGTGTCCCCAGAAACGGTCGTAGTTCGGACAGTATGAGCCGCATTTGTAGTGTAGGCTTCACTGCGCTGCTTTCAAAGCTGAAATACGGCTAGTAGTACCCTGGCTAGTGTGGCATACAGTCAGACCTATGACTGGTAATGCTATTGGCCAGTCGTGCACTCGCATTCTTCAGTTAAAAGTGCGCAGTTTACGGTGTGTGCGACTGCCGCGTGCCAAGCAGCTTAGCTCTGTAGTTTGTGTGCCTGCAGTCCCTGATGACCTTCATGACAGTTGATTTAGTTACATTCGTTGTTGCTTGGTCCGAGCAGTATGTGATTTCTTCAGTGAATTAATGCTTACAAGGCTTAAGCTGCCTCCAGCAACGAGCCTCCTCTCGATCGCACCAGCGTTTCAGCTTTCCTACACACTCTGCATTGACCCATGATATGTCGTGCTATGGCTGTGTTGTCATGTCAACACCGCCTTTCCTGTGTCTCACTCACTTCGTGTCTCATTATTTATGTTTTGCTCTGTGCTTGGTGTAATACGGGGTATGGGTTCCGATTTTAGCACTTCGTGGTTTTAGTTGAGAAACCCTGCCTATCATTGAATTCGGTGTTTGGTTTCCGGTTGTATGTGCTGTTGCCGGCTCGTGTAAGCTGTTGCACTTTTGCCTTCTTTTTGCTTGTTTTAGCATATGGTTGTTGCTATACGTTTGTTGCACCCAAGTGCTAAACAAATACCTACTAAAAAGCATTTTTTCAGATAAAAGGACAATTATTTTCTAATTGAATGCGATTTGTGTTCCTCATGGTTGGGTCCCCAAACGGATTCTCCCGTCATTTTTTTTTTTTTATAAATGTGAGCAATTTCAATTAGCGTGTGTTTCTGCTCCCTGAGTTACATGTGAAAGTATGTGTAATGTGTATTCCAGAACCATATATTCAAACATGTATGCTTAAAGTCCACACATATGACTCGTCGTGCCGTAGGCGTGACATTTCTGTTTCTCCCCTCAGGCACCTGCGGAGTATGGGTCTGCTGCCGCGCGACAACAGCGGCTGGATGAAACTTGGCCTCGGATTGGCCGCCGTCGTGTGCGGCGGCTTCCTATTGGCCCGCTACGCCCGGTTCCTGCACCAATGAGCGACGAGCAGGCGCCCGGCGGGCTGAACAAGCCTCGATAGTGAATACATAGGACAGTGATGTGTGCCTGATCGTGCTGATCAGTGTAAATGGCTTCTGGAGTTGAGTGTAACTCGTGAGTGTGGGGTGATGTACTCCAAGCGTAGGTGTCTGAGTGATGCAACTCTGACTATCTCCAAAATGGAATGAACTTGGCTGAGGTACGAACCATGTGAGGTGATGAAAAGAGATATTCGGTTTTGTGTGATCCGATCAATAACTGTAGAAAGGATTTCCAGAGCAAAACGCATTGCAGAGCTGCCGGATACCGAAAACCTCCAGCCCTGAAACACACTAGAGATGCCGTTTCTCTGAACGAGTCCGGTTTTCACATTCATGGCACGCTTTGACGCGTGACTGCGGGAACGCCAAACGTATGCTGCTGTAATCCCTGTACTTCTCCTGCCTCTACGATGGCTCTGATCAGACTTCCCCAAAGTAGCCATAATTCCAGTCCGATATGCAAAGTGCTGTATATTTGTGTGCGATGGCATGGTGTTTGTGCGGGGGTGAGCACTGAGCAGTTGTCTTCAGAAGACGAGCGTTAACCGACGAGCAGTTGACTGAACTCGTTCGCAAAGCGTGTGTGTGTGGCTGATGTTAACGCTGTCGTGATCATTTGCTCTCAGCAGATCACTGATCAGATACAATGATGTGTGTGTAAGGGGCATGCATTTGTCGGATCGGTGCTTGTTTGATAGACGATGTGTCGTCTGGAGTCCTTATGACGTTACATCTTTGATCTTGCGACATCTTATCGCGCTGTAAATTATTCGGACAGTCTTGATTGCTTGCCTGTGCCACGCTGTGTTTGTGTCTGCTGAGAGTGCCATTTTCGGACGGCAGAGGCTCGATGACGTCATATAGTTACTGATGACGTCATATAGTTACTGATGACGTCACTGGAGCGGTCAGAGCCCGCTGTGTGACGTCACAACACGGCGGGTGGACTCAAATGAGCGCCTCTAAGGCGGGAATGAACAGACTGCTGGGTGGTTTGATTCGCTACATCCCGAGAGTGAGGGTCGATGCTTGTGTGTCATGCATATGATATGGGAACGCGTGTGTCTGATTGTGGATCGTGTTTGTATGAAAGACAGTATGCTATGTAGGAGAGCGTGGTTATAACGATTGTGGCGATTGGTCGTCATGTGTACATAAACGCTGGCCGCGGCAGTGTGCTGTATATTCTAGGCCGGTTTGTTAGACCCTCTAGATCGGCCTGACCCCAGAGTCAAGGCCCCCTGGGCCGGTGAGAACCCGCGGATGAGTTGGTCAAACCCCGGTGTGTTGGGTGTGAGCAGTTGAGGAATCCTGCAGTCAACCGATATAAGCGAGCCGAGAACCCGTGGACGGCTCTGTTCGCAAGATCTAGGTAAATAAAGTACAAACCCTACTCTACTGTTTGTATGAGAGAGCGACGAACGTCGGCACGGCTGTGCGTCAAAAAAGATGATCTAAGAGTGTGGAATGGAATGGAAAAAGAAAAGAAAAAAAGAGTGTGGTGTTCGCAGATCTGTTTCCTGTTATGACCTTGTCCTCGATGACGAAGGTTTGGAGAGTTTTGAACCAACGAAGTTGGTCAAAAACACGGAACACTGACCTTCCAGTCGGGTTATTTCAGTAAGGTAATAAATAAGTGTATTTGTTTTCACACACCACCGGTGCGGCGCCAAGGCTCAGTAGAAGAGGTCCCGCAGGTCGAGATCGAACCCGCCCCCCGCCCGCCGGGCAAAGCGGCCCAGCAGCGCGCGTAAAGGCAAACAGCGAATTGGTTGGTTACATGATAAATAAATAACATCATCACTCGCACAACACGCTCGTTTACGCATGTAGTAGTTTACACGGATACATTCAGACAGGCGTTCCTTCGTCACCAATCGGAAAGTTTCGGTCGCGCGCATACCGGGTTCTGCTATCGGGAAAATCTGGCCGCTCTCCGCCAGCCGCCGCCCTGGGCGGAGCGAGCGAGTAGCAGCGCCGAGCACACCGCACACGTGTTTTGGGCGGCCGATCCACCATCGCGGCCCCGGCGGCCAGTAGACGCCCATACCGCGTCCGTCATGTGACCGCCAGAGCCACGTGCCGCGCCGCCGCCGCTGCCGGCAGTTATGTACAGCTGGTGGAAGGTCCCCACTCGGCAAAACGTCATCCGCCGTCAGCGTCGCCGGCGCGCCGCGGGAAAAGACCCACCGCGCCGGAACAGCCGTCCAGAGGAGTTACCAGTAGACGTCCATAGCCACACCGGGCCTAATGAAACCCCACCGGGTCACGGAATCCTGTCTGCGCGTTATGAGTGGCTACTGAGAGTTCCTTGTTCGGTCGGCATTGCGAGGACCCCGCCGGTCGCGGCCGCAGTCCACGTAAGTCGCACAGCTACCACCAGCTGCTCATAACCCGCCACTACGGCGGCGGCATGAATGTAGCCACCGGCGGCCGGGTTATGGGCGTCTAGTAGAATAGTCCAGCTTAGGTAGCGCATCTGCCAGTTCGCACCGGCGTCACCCGCCGCGCGAGCCGAGCCGTGTGCCGGCGGCCGGCCCGACACGCGGAGCAAGAGCAACGGAATGTGGGCCCTCTGGATATCTTACAACCAACATACACACATACGGTATTCGAATACATTGATTAAATACAACATGATTTTTCACCTCAAAATGTTCACAATCAAGAAAGCAACGAAAAGAAAAAAATACACTTCATTTAGCAGAGTGAAGAAAAAGTTGCGCGTTATGAAGTAGGTAAACGCACACGCAGACAGACATCAGCTTGAAATGACATGGTTCCGATACGAGCATCCCTTTCATTCAGTCGTCGTGCACACTGCACAGTGGCCAGTGCACACTGCACCTGAGCCGCAGAAACGGGATCACATAGAGACGATAGTCGATACAGTGTTAGTAGAGAGTAGCAGCGAGAGAACACACCCAGTACACACCCAAAGTACACGCCCAGGGCCGACCAATACACTGTCCGGCCGATCACCTCGCTATCCCCAACTGGCAACCAGGGAAGGAAGGTGTTCCATCGTCCCGACCAGCGAAGAAGGGTCGGTCACCCATCAGCCATATCCGACACTGGATAAAAATGGACTGGCATTTGAGACTAGACAATCATGTGGGAAAAGATCGGTTCGCTGAAGATGCGATATTAGGCGACCATGATAGTACAATTATTTTTTCACAGCGATAAATAAAACAAAGCAAGAAAGCACTTACAACAAAATAATTTTTACGTCGTTCTTTCAAATAGAAAACCTCCTAATCACAGGATCAGTCTGCGTTCTTGTGTACAACACGAAAAGGTGTAGGTATGTGCACCGTAAAACACGCTAAGTGAATAAATAGCTATATCGGAATGATAACATGCCTATATTCGCCGTCTATCTCACGAAGTTAGAGAGGATCGGCAGCTGAAGCGCGGACGATGACAAGGCAGTGCGGTACACCTCCAATACACGATCGTACGACACGCTATCCTACATTCGATGGAGCCGCGGCGGGGCCGCCGCAGAGGCCAGCTTTCTTGTTTTGATTTGCGCACGGCTATAGGGCGCCCCTCGCGCTGTGCAGTAAATGAGATCGTCTGCTCTCACGCCCTTCTCACACCCGCTCACGTCTAACTCACACTGGTGTGTCTCACAGTGAGATCCGACGAGCTCACAAATGAACTCTTCTTACACACGGTAAATATGTCCCATCCAGTGACACAGTTCGCACACTGACCTTGGGTAAATATGTAGATTGTAAATATATGTGTAGCATTTGATAGATATAGCTGACAGCAAGGGCTGCGCTGCCAGGTCACTCGTGAAAAGCTGTCATGTCACACGCGTCATGCTGTCCGTCGCGGGTGACGGCAGGGAACCGTCACGTCACACTGGCCTCGCTCAAGACAATAATAATCCGTTCCGCTAACTCGTTCAGGGAGACGGCTGCCACGCAAGAGCGACAAAGAACACTCAAAGCATCCCGCGGAAACTGGGCGGCCCGTGCGTGTGCGTACATATCGAATATGTTCTTCTGTCCCCACACGGCTGAACCAGGGTCGGCCAAACTGGGAGTGTGATCACCTTCCCACAAACCAGTCCGTCAGTCAAAAACCCCGGAAAATCCACTCGTTTCACAATATGTGTTCTCGGCAGAGAAGACCAGGTATCCAGTACAGCTAGGCCTAGAAGTTGGTGACGCGTTCGCGACATTTCTTCATGAAGTCCTGTGCAGCCTTGTCACCGAGGCGGCTCTCCAGAGTCTTCAGGATCGGGTGCTCTGGAAAAAATGTGCGGAAAGGTGCGTTAGGTAACTTTTTAGTGTTGAAGGAAATTGGTAAAGTTTGTCCGGCTTTGGATGCCGTGCGGGCCATTATTAGCCCATCGTTAGCTCATCCAGCCCGAAATAATGAGCTCAGCCCGATACATCATTAGCTCACCGCCCATAACCGCCCATACCTCTGTCTCGCTGGTGCATGAGGTTCAGCTCGATCTCCTTCAGGCCGTGGAAGTTGTCCGCGTTGGACGTGCCCCGGTCGACGCCAGGGATCTGGGGGTGGACGGGAGGACACTATCAATGCATTGGTTCTCTACTTATACGAGTATATAGCAAGGAAAGAAAACAAACTCACGCTCGAGGTCGAACCTTTGGCGGCAGGTACGCGAAAATCTAGGTACTGTTTCAGATCAAACCATCTAACCAAGAATCACATCTCATGCCTCTTGCTTCTTAAAGTCCTGTATTCCTAATGGTGTCTTGGGTGAAGTAATGTTTATAACTGTATGTCATCAAAAGTCAGTGAGGTCAGTGAGTCTGAAGGTCAGTGAGAGCTCTGTGAGTTCTCACCTGGTTCAGCAAGAAGTCTGTTTGTTCTCACCTGGTTCAGGGAGAGGCCTGTTAGCTCTCATTCGGTTTCTTTGAGTTCTCACCTGGTTCACTGAGAGGTCTGCGAGTTCTCACCTGGTGCAGTGAGCGGTCTGCGAGTTCTCACCTGGTTCAGGGAGAGGTACGCCTCGCCGGCGAAGTCGTTGAAGGTGAGCACGTCGTGGTCCATCACGGTGAAAAGGATCATGGCGCCCTCGGCCCGGCACTGCTCCAGCGTTACAGAACTGGGGACGGCGGGCAGTGGCACATGGGGTCAGGGGCGGATCCAGGGGTCGACAAAAATCGGAGTCTCGGCGCGTCAATGCTCTTGCGTCACAGGACTGAGGACAGCGAGACGCACGGTTCCGTGGTACGCAATATACGAGTATACGTTGTGCACCGCGGAACAGTCTACCTACAGGCGCCGACAACTGGTGACACCTAGCGACCAGTTTGATCACTACATACTTTGCATTGCGGAACAGTCTACCTTCAGGCGCCGACCACTGGTGACATCTAGCGACCAGTTTGATCACTACATACTTTGTAGTGCGGAACAGTCTACCTTCAGGCGCCGACAACTAGTGACACCTAGCGACCAGTTTGATCACTACATACTTTGTAGTGCGTAACAGTCTACCTTCAGGCGCCGACGACTGGTGACATCTAGCGACCAGTTTGATCACTACGTACTTTGTAGTGCGGAACAGTCTACCTACAGGCGCTGACAGCTGGTGACATCTAGCGACCAGTTTGATCACTATATACTTTGTTGTGCGGAACAGTCTACCTTCAGGCGCCGACCACTAGTGACATCTAGTGACCAGTTTGTATACTTCATAATCGGTAGTGCGGAGAAGTCTATCTTCAGGCGCCGACAACTGGTGACATCTAGCGGTAATTTTGAGCAGTATAGTGTGTTGCGGCACAACGTAATAGCGGGCGTTTCCAAACTCCGTGGTGATAGTCAATCCACGCAACAACACGCGTAGTCCGCACTAAGCCCCTTGCTCAGCACACCAGCACATAAACGAACCACTTTCTTCCGTAAAGGAGCTCAGCTGTGAGCTACGACCAATTTGTGATTGAAGCCTGAAGGTGAAGCACAGGGCTGGTAAAAAGCGCCGATTCGCTGATAATATCGGAGCCAGAACAATAGCTGTACAAGCGATTTAGGGAGCCAAAAATAAGCGTTTCAACGCAAGTATGCATGTGCAGAATAACTGCTAAGTTTTGTTTCATATTTTCATTTTATTTCTACGACAAACCTCAAAATACAAGATGCCTGAGCACAAATATTAAATTAGTAACAGCATTCAATTTCCCAATGAGGTCTTATGCGCAATGTTTGTCTACAAAGTACAAAGCTGGTAGCCTATTCAGAATAGCTGTAAATGCTTACCGCGAACAGCGTCAGCATTGATCAGTCGAAGAGCCATCAGTCGATTTCCAGCTTTAACACTACGGAGAATAGGGCTCCGTAACTTTTATCAGTTGATGAGGACCTAGTGTTGAGGGAACGGGGAGCCACAGAGCCTTCTACCATTGGCGGTTCACTGTATTACCGACTAGTTTAGAACACAAATAATGATATTCAAGTGGCCTTTTCATTTTTATCAATGTCAAGTCTCGTCAAAGTCTCGTGCAGGGTTGCGGCACGGGCAAACTGTACATTTCATGGTATGTTGGTTGTTGTTCGGTTGGATTTGAAGCTGCTCCTCTTCTATATAGTACATCTCATAGCAATATCATAGATCACCTACCTCAATATTTTAAAGGTAGTGTGCCACCTTTGAAAGATTTCCCATTTTATTTTTCCTAGGAAAAGAAGCTTCTGTTTTTACCTAATATCGCAAAAAAATCAAACATGGGCCTGGAATAGTGCCTTTTTCGCCTAAAAGTTTATCGGTTTTTAGATATGTATAACAACTGTAGTGGGCTCACCTGCAAACAGGCGTCGGGCAACAATCGCGAATGCGGCGCACTTGTGACAATAAGCAAAGGTCATTATAGTGTTACGACCATACGACGTACGGGAATGAGTTATCAGCTGTCTAATCGTAGACAACACAATGTCGAGCCTTAACCCGCGTCCTGCTGGGGGTCCTGGATTTCCACGCCCTGCTGGGGGGGGGGGGGTGTTTGAACACCCCCCTTGTAACTCGGCTCCTGGGCCACGTAGCGATACGCGGAAGGCGGCGTTCGAAAGAGCGTAAAAAATAATGACGAAATCACTTCGGTCAATTTTTTGGTCAGGTCAAAGGTCAGGTCACCAGAGGTCATTGAAGGCAAAATTTCGCCGATTTCCAGGTCGAATGTCGGAAATTTCCAAGAAGCCAACGCATAACTCGGGAACCAATAGAGCTACAGCGCCGCGGAAAAGCGCATTCGATAGCCCTATTAACGCCCTTTCTGGGTAATTCTCTCAGATTTGACCTAACGTCAACGGTTTTGCCTGCAGGGGGCAAAAACTGCAAAAATAGCCGATTTTTTCGAAAACAGTTTTTCTGCAATAACTTTTGACCCAAGCCTTGTACGAGCTTACTTTTACCGGCATCGTGTTCCTCTCGTCAAGACGCATCGAATGAACTATGACCTGACCTTGAAAGGTCAACTTAAAAATTTGACCTCAGGTCAAGGTCATGACCTGACCGGAAAGGGTCATGTTGCATATCAGTCGATCCGTATCGTCGAGCTGAACACATCTAAGGCGTTTTCATCGCTCTAGCATGCCTCTATCAAAAGTTATTTGCGAAAAACTGTTAGATACCATTCGTGACCTAAGATGACCTCAGGGCATAAACAAGGGTCACGGACACCATTTTCAAGCTCAGTGTATCTAAACCACTTGTAATTCGGTGTTTGGGAGTGTTTATAATGTCTTTCATCCAAAAGAGGCGCATTTCAATTTTCTCCCATTGACTTATAATGGGGAGGTCGCAAAATTGACCTGACCTTAGGTCATCGATATCAAAATTCTGAGATATACATTTTGTACATGCTATTGCTCTTAGCAATCGCTGAAAGTTTCAAAGCGATCGGTCACTCGGTGTAGCTATGACAGACATTGAAACTTTTTATGAGGTGAGGTCACTTCAAGTGACCTGGTGACCTGACCTTGAACGACCTTGGTCTGAAATTTTCACAACATGTGTAGAATTGATGTATGATAAGGTGTACCAAAAACGGCGGCGCTCCGCGCCGCCGTTTTTGAGATATTCGCGAAAAACCACAAGGGGGGGGTGTTCAAACACCCCCCCCCAGCAGGGCGCGGGTTAAACTGTAAGCCCGTATTGGTATTGTTTCTTTTATTTGGCTGTCGAGCATTATTTATGGTTTGAAATATGATTTTATGTAAAATAATTGATATGAAAAAGCCGTCTTATAAGTTATGACCCCATTTCACCACACGCAAGTGGCAGAAATGACAATGATCAGCTGACGCATTTTTCTTGGCCGAAGTCAGAGCGCGCAGCCCGACGCACCACCACCGCACCACAAAGTATGAGCAGAAGCCGCGTCCAAAGCCAGGGCCCCGGTAACGTGAGGTAGCCGAGTCGGGGCAGCGTGCGCTGACCCAAGCCGGGGCCGCAGCTTTGGGCGCGGTCTACCGCATCCCCGCGGGCAGCCCCGGGCTATCACATGACACCGGGAGGACGCGCGGCTCCGGCTTGGGTCAGCGCACGCTGCGCCCTGACTCGGCTACCTCACGTTACGTTCGCCCTGGCTTTGGGCGTGGTCTACCGCACCACCTAACAGGCGTGTTCGAAACCGCAGGAGCTGATGATGAACGGGTTTATCGAAACTTGATTGGATGAGCATATCGGTAATAGCGATTTCAGTGTGTGCATTTATTGTTCATAGTGGTGTGAAATGTGGTTGGGGTACGACCGACAACCCGTCGGGGCGAATTTCGCACTGGGGTACTCAAAATTTGAAGAATTTAAGACGTTTCCATGAGTTTTGAAGGTATGGATAAGTTCTAAAAATCCGGTTCTCCTTATCTGGGCCATTAACTCCATACGGTCCAAGAAAGCTGGCACACTACCTTTAAGCTGATCAAGCTGTGGAGCTAGACATGAATATGGCGCTTGTTTTTACTTTGAAGATGCATACGGATACCTAACTCAAGTGGCTAACGATACTCATTTATTTGCCAACCAACCCAGTATGGTTAGCATATTTGTTACTAAATTAAATTAAGTTTTGAATATCAAGATACCTATGCTCCTCTTCTGCATGTTTTTCTTTTTGGTACGTCATACTCAAAATATGCTTATATAAGCAATCCTGATTTATATTTGAGGCATTTTGTAACTAAAGTTAATATGAGACTTTCACTTATAATGCCTTTGTGTTTCAGTTCTCAGCTTAGGACATCATCAATCATGTGTATCTCAGATGATGCAGACAATGACCAGCCTGCGGAAGATCTATGCTAGTGGGCGAGATGATGAAATTTCCTCTGTTGGTGAGCCAGTATTTTTTTGTCAACAACATTCATTGCCTTATATGCATTTGTGCCTTACATTTCTGTCACCAACCAGCTTAAACAAAAGTAGAAATTATATACCTACATTCTTTTGCTGTGTTTGACACCAGCCGATGTCCCAAAATCAGGATACATCAGTGAGCTAGAAGTAAAACTAAAATAGTTACTGATGATGTTTAAGGTGTTCCTGAAAAGGACGCTGTTCACCGCACTTTCAAGCTTCTTCTGTTACGAGTGTTAGGAGCCACTTTTCATGGCCAAAAAGTTGGTCAGAGCCACCAAAACCATTTTTACCAGCCCTGGTGAAGCAGCACCCAGACGAAGACGCAAAAAACACATTACAAACAACTTTAGTACAACACAGTGCAGCTTCACAGTAAGCACATCGAACGCTGCCAGTTTCAGACAGAAAGAAAAACAACGTCGGTGATCCCCCATACTCCCGAGGTGAAACACAAAGGAACGCAGGCGGCAGAGTCTATTCAATAACGTAAGAAGAAAGCTTTCATCAAAGTTCCATTAAGTCAACAATTAAGTGTTTTATCATGTTTGTTTCTATTTATAATATGTAGGTACATTAGAGCAACCACTAACCACTAACCACAAATAATCACCAGTCACACAATGCTCTTCACATCAATGTAGCAACACATTGTTACAAAAGCCATGACAGGGCCCCGATAAATTACTCATTGCTTTCACGTTAAGGAGGCAAAATGGGTTTGCTAGATGTGGCTACTTCAGAAATAACAGACATATTGTCTGCAAAAATGGTCATAACTAGTTTTTCCAATGAGCATATAGCGAAATTATCCAGGACAACCCATTTGAAAGTTGATGTGGCGGTTTAGTTCCCTTTCGAATCCGCTTATTCCCTGGCGGGACTGGAACCCACGGCCCCTGGGTCAGTTGACTCACTATTCGAAGCACTCGTCGAAGACGGGGTTGAGCGTGCGTTTGTGGACGACCGTCTGCTGCTCCACACAGGACGAGAAGATGTGTCGCGGCAGCAGCTCAATGATCACAAACGGGTCACTGAGACCTGAAACAGAGGCGGCAGGCGGGTCTGAGATTCACCAATCACAGGACGGACGTGCATGAGATCGACACAGTGAAGCATGACCTGATTAAAAGAGTGTAGAAAATATATCATACTTATTGAGATATTTCCAAGAAGTTTCGCAAACACAGACTATGTCACAAAGACTGCCGAATGCCGTGTGCCCAAGTCAAGTTGTCAACTAGTCCAGCAATATAATTAGCTTTCCATCACCACGAACCCTTGTTCATTCTGCCCCCTATCCCCCGCCGCCCGTCGTCACTGACCGTTGGGGTCGAGCGGTATGACATTCTTGGCGCTCAGTATCTCCACCGACAGAGAGTCGTGGTGGAAGTACACGCGCACAGAGAGCGTGCCGAACTCTGTCGTCTCCTGGGTCTCCTGCTCCTGGAGCCGCTCGGCGTGGAACAGCGCCATCAGCTCCTCCGTCGAGAGACTGTTCAACTGGCGGGGACAGTGGGACGAGCGTCAGAGGTCGTGTGCCATAAGAAACCAGTTAGAACCCTTAGAAGGAATCGGTTTTGCTGCCGTTCCAGTCAAAACGCATGAACCTGGTAGCCAGCCGCTAGGTAGCAGAAAAATGCAATGACTCGACGATGCTACCAACAATTACATGTTTTACAGCAATCCCTTCATCTTCCTTCACAATTAGCAAAATGTTACTGTAACGCAAATCAATCATTTTTCTGGAAGGCATTTGCCGAGCAATAATAAGCCAATGCACTCTCAACGAAGAAGTATCTTTGCATAGCTTGATATCAGGGAACCGTCCTAAGGATTTCTAGCGACTCTAACGCCCACCCTAGAATTTCTGGTATCTTTTTGTCTTTCGTCATACGCTATCATATGGGAATTTCTGGTCCCGGACTTCTTCTGCCCGTACCCGAACTTCAAATAAAACTCCCCCGCCTGCCGTCTCAGTACCCATTTCTGCTGAGCAATCTCAGTTAATTCCACCCCGGTCAAAGTTTCAGCAGCCGCAGACGTCCCGCTGAGTCTACCTGCCTCGGCGGCAGGACTCGTTACCTTCAGACTGCGCAGCGTGTCGTCAAAGAGCTCTCCCTTTAGCGTGTCCAGGGGCACGCCCTGGCCATCGGCGTGGAAGAACCGGCGCAGGATCTCCAGCGCCTCGCACAGCCGACTGTAGAACGCCGGCGACTTGTCCTGCGGGCGGGCACAAGAGTGTGATACGCAGCGTAACGTATGTAGTTTGCAACGTCAGAAATTGAAACGGACTAGAAACTGTACAATTTCAATGTATAAAAGTAGGCGGAGCTGGAAAGCAACTACTTTACACCACCTACGGAAGGCAGAATTATTGCAATATCAAACGAAAAGTAAAATCTCAAGTCTTACGTCAGAGATGGAGTCGGCCTGTGCTTTGAGCTCGGACACGGTAACCAGCCAGATCTGCAGTAGCGCCCGGTCGAAATTCTTCTTCATCAGGTCCGCGTGCAGGGCCACCTGGGACAGAGAGACGGAGCATAGAGGTCAGAGGTGCACTAACAGCTACAGCTGAAGCACCGTTCGGCCTGTACGATGGTGGATCGGTGTGACAAGTAGGTAATCACAGGGAAATGACAAAGCCATCAACCAGCAAAAGCAATAGAAAAAAGACACATATTCCTCTAGTTCTCTTTCCCCTCAAACCTTTCACTCCTTGTTCCTTTTCTCTTTCGCTCCCTCCCTCCCTTTCTCTGTGTCTCTTTCTCTGTCTCTGTCTCACTCCCACTCTTTCTCCGCCTCACTCTCCCCTCACTCTCTGACTCTCTCCTCTCTCTCTCTCCTCTCTCTCTCTCTCTCTCTCTCTCTCTCTCTCTCTCTCTCGTCCTCTCTCTCTCTCTCTCTCTCTCTCTCTCTTCTCACTCAGCGGTCAATCTCAACTCCCCA